TGTTATAAACCATGATAATTCTGACAGGAGAATTCCCAGAACCAGCATTTATTTACACATGGTTAGTAGTTTTAATAAACATACTGGATGGCACAATTATTGTGTAAACAGGAGATGGAAGGTCTGATTCTCCATCCAGACAGAAACTTTAACAAAATTACACACATTCACAGTTACAGCAGCAACAGTGTCTGAGTTCAGCTCTTAAAGTGACATTTGCTTGACTTTATAAGACACTCTGGGTACATATAATACAGCTTAACATGGAATTATATCAGAGAAAATAACATCAAACTGAACTGGCATGTTATAGTGTTTCAAACCAATATTTAATGATGTACAGTGTTAATAAATGTTATATTTCCCTGTATAGCTTGTTAATAAATGTTATATTTTCCTGTAAATCTGATCCTGCTGGATTTACATCTATAAATGTTTATGTATGACCAGATATGGACTTAAAATATCATATATTATCAGTTCTGGCTCGCATATCAGGGCATCTCTACAGATATAATAACATCCTCCTGTTTGTAGTTTGGCACAAAAAGTATTTGAACACATCAGCTTCTAGATCAGGGGTCTTCAACTGGTGCATGGTGGTCCAGATGTGGAGAGCATTTCAGCTGAGTGAACCAAGCACTTTAACAATTCTGACACAAACTAGACAGACATAAAGATGGAGCAGCGCAGCTTCTGTAGCAGAACCGAGTTACAGATTATCTAGAACAGAGACTGCAGCGTAGATATCAGAGCAAAAAGAGATTAATTTCACAGATTTTTTATTATATTTACAGTTTCTGCTCTGAGTAGTGACTATAGCTTATTAAAAAAAAGAAAATCAACAATAAAAACATGATTATAAATACATAAACAGATAACTCCATGTTCTTCTGCCTGTTTCAGGTTCTAAACTGATCTGAGTTTTAACTGTTCACAGAGCTGTTCAAACTGGAAACGTTCAGCATCACTGCAGAACAAAACAAACGCTTTTAATTAACCCAAAATTCAGCTCTAAGGACGAGTAAACTAGAGAGGGCATCAGAGCCTGAAATATTTATGAACATCTGCCTTTATTATTCTTTATTTTAATTTAATCTTACTGTTAATTCATTTCAGCTATTTTACCTCATCAACATACTGGACTTTTCTTCTGTGGACAAATATTTTTAAAGATATATTAAAGTTTTTTCTTTGTCCAAAATGATTTTCTGCTCATCTATTTATTTATTTGTTTATTTATGTATTTAACAAGCAATAGCCAATGACCATATCATTTTAAAATGTTCATTAGATTATACAACCATATTCAAAATAAATCAGTTTATTAAAATATATTTGATGTGTATTATTTTATTTTAATTAGCTGGACTGATCATTACTGGTGAAGCATTTAAATGTAAACGTTGTAGCTGTCGTTCATGCTAGTCTGTTTATTTGGAAATCTGATGTAACTGGACTTTTAGCTGAGATCCACTGACCTTAAAACCAGACTTGATGACATCAAAAAGTCCATCAGAGACAGTGATGATGGGTTGATTATCTGTGACATTTGTGTTCAGGGCTTCACAAGTGTGTCCAGATCTACAGGGTCAGTGACCATTCAGCACCTATAATAAACTCCATGAAGCTCCTCTACTGAGGAACCATTAAGAGAATTCTTCTAGACTTAAACACCTTACAGAGTGAGTTATGATCTTCATTCTGACCAGAAGAGGAACGCTAAAGTCTACAGAGCCAACTGACATCACGATAAACATTCAGAGATTGAAGAAGTTTGGGAGCCATATTACAGAAATGTCTTAACTCTGAAATCTGATCTGTTCAGTCTCCATGACGACTGCAGTACAGACTGAATTTCGGACAGTGGCTGTTATAGAATAACAGTTCATAACTTCATAATCTCATCATTAACTCCAGATAAGAAAACAGTATTACACAAACATCCTAACAAGACTAAATCTCCTAAATACTGTCCTAACTTTAGAATAAACCCGAACAGTTCCTAACTTCATAATCTTATCATTAACTCCAGATAAGAACGCTCTATTACACATACATCCTAACTAGACTAAGGCTACGTTCACACAGCAGGTAAAAGTGGCCCAAATCCACTTTTCTCACCAAATCCGATTTTTTTGTTTGGCTGTTCACATTATCTTTTAAATGTGACCTGTATGCGACATCAGTCTGAACAGATCAGCTCCTAAACCGACCCGCATGCGCAAAAGAACAATGTTTCACGTGGCTCGTCCAGAGGTAAACAGTCACGACTGCTAGCGAACGCCAGTCGCTCCCGCAGCTTTCAGTTTCGTCTTCGTCAGCATCACATAAGCGAGTATAAAGTTCCAGTGGTTGACAGCGGGACTCATCACCCAGAATGTGTTCGAGTTCGCCGTAAAAAGGGCTCGTTATTCGGCCACGGCCACTTCTTTGGTTCGAGTCCTCGGATTCTTTAAACTGTTCTCTGACGCTGCAGCCTCGGGCTCCTCCGGCCGCGTTCGGCCGTTTCGTTCGAAACCTCTTCAAACACGGAGCGGTTTGATGAGTCTCTTCTAATTTTTCAGTACAGAAACAGACTAAATGTTTATGAGCCTCAGCAGCGCGAAATTATGACGAATGTCAAGTTGTACTGACGTAAAAGTCGCATATATTCCGATCTGGCTGTTCAGACTGAGTCGCATTGCCGCAGATCAGATACGTATCGGATTCCAGTACCACATATGAAAGCGTTTCAAATCGGAATTGAAAATGTCAGATTCAGTGCGTTTTTGCTGATCACACTGACACACAGATGACACATCTGTGTCACATTTGAGGAAAAAGGTCAGATTTGGGCCACTTTTACCTGCTGTGTGAACGTAGCCTTAATCTCCTAAACACTGTCCTAACTTTAGGATAAACCCCAACAGTGTCCTAACTTCTGTTTAACCATTCGTTTCTATGGTTTTTAGGCAGCTGTGTCAAGCAGCATAGTTCACTACCAGCATAATGACGCTACATTTATTTATACTGTAAAACGTTGCTTTCACTGTGAATGTTCTTCTTCTCTAACTCTGCGTTTTAAAAATTTCAGACGCTGCAGACTCGATCTCCACCGTCCCTCTGATTACCTTCATGTGTTAATGTTGATGATAAAATATTACAGTGATGGTTGTGAATAATGAGGACACAGAGCTGAACGTGTGTCTGTTTATTAGGAGGAATAACATTAGCGCGCTCAGCTAAGCGTTTGGGAAATGGAGACTGAAACTGGGGAGTGGTGATGCTTTGATAAAATAGCAGTGGGCGCTCTCACAGCATTCACAACTTACAGTTTATCACACTTTAGTTTAGTTTGACCTTTTTTACATCAGTAACAGCAGCTGTAGCTCACAATTTTAATTGACGTGTTTACGTTTCAGCTGTGTGTGTATGGTCAGTTGCTAGGAAACAGTCATGCCAGCTGATTGTTGACTTTAATCGAGTAGGTTAAGATTTCCTAACAGGAGATAAGATGCTGTAAGATAAAATAAAATTTCTAAATTCAGATCAGATTTGCTTCTGTAATACACATTTGTGTAAAATCTTATCTTGATCTGCCAGATCTGAACTTAGGACAGAAAGAGAGGAAGTCTCTGTGATACGGCTCGAGGTTCTCCAAAGAGCTCAAAAGGTTCTCCAAAGAGCTCAAAGAGAGAATGTAGATTTCTACACAACATTACACAGACCCACAGCCAAGATTTGGTTACTAAATAGTAAAAACACTACATTCACAGTCACAGTATCACAGCAAGGATTTCATAAACAACATAGCAATAGGTAGTTTAGACATTTATATACGCTACATTGCCAAAAGTATTCAGTCGTCTGCCTTCACACGCATATGAACTTGAGTGACATCCCATTCTTAATCCATAGGGCTTAATATGATGTCGGCCCACTCTTTGCAGCTATAACAGCTTCAACTCTTCTGGAAAGGCTTTCCACAAGGTTTAGGAGTGTGCTTATGGGAATTTTTGGCCATTCTTCCAGTAGCGCATTTGTGAGGTCAGACACTGATGTTGAACAAGAAGGCCTGGCTCGCAGTCTCCACTCTAATTCATCTCAAAGATGTTCTATCAGGTTAAGGTCAGGTCTGGTGCAGGCCAGTCAAGTTCTTCCACACCAAACTCGCTCATCCATGTCTTTATGGACCTTGCTTTGTGCACTGGTGCACAGTCATGTTGAAACAGGAAGGGGCCATCCCCAAACTGTTCCCACCAAGTTGGGAGCTTGAAATTGTCCAAAATCTCTTGGTCTGCTGAAGCATTAAGAGTTCCTTTCACTGGAACTAAGGGGCCGAGCCCAACTCCTGAAAAACAACCCCACACCATAAACCCCCCCTCCACCAAACTTTACACTTGGCACAATACAGTCAGACAAGTGCCGTTCTCCTGGGAACCGCCAAACCCAGACTCGTCCATCGGATTGCCAGATGGAGAAGCGTGATTTGTCACTCCAGAGAACACGGCTCACTGTTCTAGAGTCCAGTGGCGGCGCTTTACACCACTGCATTCGACGCTTTGCATTGCACTTGGTGATGTAAGACTTCGATGCAGCTGCTCAGCCATGGAAACCCATTCCATTAAGCTCTCTACGCACTGTTCTTGAGCTAATCTGAAGGCCACATGAAGTTTGGAGATCTGTAGTGATTGACTATGCGCCTCAGCATCCGCTGACCCCGCTCTGTCATTTTACCACTTTGTGGCTGAGTTGCTGACGTTCCCAATTGTTTCCACTTTGTTATAATACCACTGACAGTTGACTGTGGAATGTTTAGTAGTGAGGAAATTTCACGACTGGACTTGTTGCACAGGTGGCATCCCTTCACTGTACCACGCTGGAATTCACTGAGCTCCTGAGAGCGACCCATTCTTTCACAAATGTTTGTAGAAGCAGTGTGCATGCCTAGGTGCTTGGTTTTATACACCTGTGGCCATGGAAGTGATTAGAACACCTGAATTCAATGATTTGAATGGGTGAGTGAATACTTTAGTCAATATAGTGTATTATATGAATATATTGGCAAAAAGTTATTTAATTAATAATATTCTGTAATTATCTAAATTTTTTTATAAGTTTTCTGACTCAACATCTGGCCTTTACTTCTGTAATGTGATGAATTCTGGATATTTTAAATATTAATTTTAGATATTGATGTTATCAGAACATGGTACAGCTTTCTCAGTCAGCTTAGACTCTTCTACGGCTCTTATCTTCATTCTGGACTCATCTAACATTTCTACATTTATATTCACAGCTTCATACTGATTATCTGAATTCTGGTTATCAGAGTTCCGTCATATTGCACTCTTTTCACTCATATATTTGTTACATAACTGGGTTATTATCGAAAATACTGATTCCAAATTCATGGACTGAAGTGTAAACGTGCACTGTGTGAGTCTCAGTAAACTGTGGAGTTCTACATGTTTATTACTGACTCATTAGGTCAGCTATCAGCCTGTCCAGCCTCACTGCAGCTGTGAAGAGAAATCAAAGGCTGGGCAGACTAAACATCACTAGTGGTGGACAGATCAGCGTAGAAGTTAGTAGTTTTGGAAATAGACGACATATTCCTCTGCGTCTCTTCTCCGCCTGCACCACCTCACGCACCTCACTATTAGTGACAGGACTAGAAGGCCAACGAAGATGCAGATTACGATGATAATATTTCTTACATTGTCAAAGTTATTAGGTGGACCTGGAGATGAGGTGTCTGTAGATGGAGGGAACACTTTTATGAAGAGAAAACTGACACCATGCTGTGTTTCTCTTTCCACCACAAAGAATAATCCAGTGTCCTCCATGGAGAGGTTCCTCAGCTCCAGGAAGTGCTGCTGTAGCTCTGTACGGTGTGAATAAGCTGCTCCACACTCCGTCTGCTCTTTCTCCACCTCACACACTCGTACAGAACCGTTCCCTCCAACAGGCAGGAACCTCACAATCACTGGAGATACAGGGTGGAGGGGGAGGAGCACAGAGCAACCATACTCTCCCACATACCGGCCCAAGGGATCTAACAAGCAGGAAAGGAACTGATGTTATAAGATGAAAGAAGCACAGACTAATATGTATCAGTGTTCTTATAGTTATTTGTAACAAGGTGGCTAGCCTATACCACGTGAGGATCAAACTGATGATCTCTGCATTAGAAACACAGCAAGCTATGGGATAAGCCACCAACCAGTCGCAGAGATGGACTCAATTGCAGAGCAGTAGAGACTCAAAAATGGAGGGAAAAAAGGAGAAAAGCAAGGTTGCCCCGAGCGAAACTCAAACTCAACACCTTGCAACGTGCAGTGAGCACGTTTATTCTATGCTACAACGCCAATGCTGAAAAGACCCTTGTAGAAGAGTTGATAAACAAAAGGGAGAAGGTTACTAAGGCCAAACAAAAGAAACACTAGAACAGTGTCTTCAAACAAAAGATTTCAGAAAACCAAGGGAGAAAAGTACACAGTCAACAGAAAAGTACACTAAGTTTTTTTGTTTGTTTTTTATGTAAGTACACAAAGTACACAGTCAACAGAAAAGTACACTAAGTTTTTTTGTTTGTTTGTTATGCTTACACAAAGAAAACAACTGGGACAGAATCCAGAGTTTGAGAAAACTCATCACCCGAGACAATACCATTTACCAGCTCAGCAGAGAGATGCGGCATCCATGATTTCCAAAAAGAATTTCATATTTTGATTCGTCGGCCCACAGGACACTTTTCCACTTCGCCTCAGTCCATCTTAAATGAGCTCAGACCCAGAGAAGGCGGCAGCGTTTTTGGATCCTGTTTTTATATTGTTTCTTCACAGAAAGTGGTGTTCTGAAATGTTCCTGAGCCCATGCAGTGATTTCCACTACAGAATCATGTCTATTTTTAATGCAGTGCTGCATGAGGGCCCAAAGATCACAGCCAGCCAGTATTGTTTTTCAGCCTTGTCCCTTACATACCGAGATTTCTCTGGATTATCTTTTAATGTTGTTATGTACAAAAGATGATGAAATCCCCCAGTTCTTTGCTATTTTACGTTGAGAAACTTTATTCTTGAATTGTTGCACTATTTGCCTGTGCAGTCTTTCACACATTGGTGAACCCCTCCTCATCTTTACTTCTGAAAGACTTCCCAGTCATGTTACTGACCTGTTACCTGTTAACCTAATTAGTTGTGAGATGTTCCACCAGGTGTCTTTTTTAGCATTACACAATTTTACCAGTCCTTTGTTGCTCCTGTCCCAACTTTTTTAAATTAAAATTTAAAATGTGTTATTGGCATTAAATTCAATATGGCATATATTTTTCAAAAAACAAAAAAAAATCTGAATTTCAACATTTGATATATTGTTTTTGCACTAATTTTAATTAAATGTAGGGTTAAAATGATTTGCACATCATTATACTTGCACATCATTGTAAATTGTAATCATTTAGTGACATCATAGCTAGATCACACTAAATCACAAACTGAATATAGCCAACTATAATATATACGTATGGTAATATATAATATATAAATGTAATATATGTGATATAATACACTTGTTTTTATAAGTTTCTCACATCCTTACCTGCCACTGTGTACAGTAACCCAAACCAGCATAGCTGCGTAATCACCATGATGAACTTCTGACAAAGAACAGATGTAATTCATATTAACTCATGTACCACGTTTTTTACTGCTGTTCAATCCTCCACCCACCACTAGCTCAGAAAAGGAGCTGCTTGGTACTCCACGCTATTAAAAAGCTTTCTTTAAAAATAAGACAATTTTGCTGATCTAACATAATTGAAGTGAAAAATGGCCAAAGCTAACCAGCTATCACACTCTTAACTCAACTCGTTAAAGTTCACTGAACTTGATTTACTGGCGTTGATTTAACACCTATCAGACCAACTTATTTAAGAAGCTTTAAAAGTCAACAGTGAAATAGCCAATCAAAGTAGGACAACTAACCAAAAGACAAAACAACAAACATGTACCAAGCGAAGACTGGCTAGGAGGACAGACAACACGGAGATGGTGAGTAAAATGAGAAGAAAGATACACCCAATATGTAAATAGGAGCCAGGAGCCAATTAAATCTTTAAATACAATAAATAATCAAAAAGTTTCCCCGAACTCAGAATAGTAGAGAAATATGGAGCACATATCACATTTTAATTATGACAGGTGTCATTTATTTGGGGATGTGTCTCGTGATTCCAACCGCAATCAGCAATCACATCAGACACAGTTCAGTGTCTTTATTTGACCTGATTGGCTGATTTAATCACCTTCATTCAGTGTTTTTGCTTTAAATACATTGTAAAAACAGATCAGTTCAATTACTACCAACTTGCAGAGCCAGTTCTATGTTTGTTAGTGTAGTAGACCAACGTCACATTTTAGTAAATTATTATTTTCAATATAGTTCAGATTGCTATAGGAAGTGCTTATGTGAACTGGCCTTTAGAATCAGAGCTACAAATCAGAATCATAACAGGGTTCAGTGCTAATGCCAAGATGTGCAATTAAAAGCTTTGTTCTTAGAGATATTTGAAACATTTATTCATTAACATTAACTGTGGTTCCTAATTGGTTATTTGCCTCTGCACTGTTAGCAGGTTGCTCTGCCCTAATGGATTATATATAAACACTGGGAGAGGATATATTGTTATAAATAAAGTGAACATGTTTCTTCTACAGTAAAAAGTGACAAACAGTTTATACAGTTTTTTGTAACTTTTGTAACTGACTAACTTTCTGACTGCCCAGTCAGAAATCTTGAGAGGAGCTCCTGCGTGTTGCTAGTTGATGGTCCAGTGATGTTCCATCCACTTGTGTATGACGGCCCCAGTAGTGCTTATAGGAACATTTAGAAGTTGAGAAATCCATCAGTATCCTGTGCCTTTGCTATGCTGCTCAACTGTCCTGTTGTGAAGGCCTTGGGAAAGCTCTTCTAGCCAACACTAAACACTAACCCAGTTTAAGTTCAGTACCACTTCCACTTAATTGCACTTAACTTTTTTATTTTTTTGGAATGTTATGATTTCTTTAGCAGTTTTATTGAGTTTATTCCAATGTCTGCTGTAAATCTCATGTGAATATCTGCATTAGAAATATGTTTAATAAAAAAAAAAAAGTTGACGTGTTGAATACTTATTTGCTCCACTGTATTTAACATAAAATACCAGGAAGAGACAAATGTAGAAAATTCTGATAATTCTATATTTAGAACCTTTTGAAAAGCTCTTTCTGTTTCTGATTACAGCTGCTCTTTAGCTTCCTTAGTCACGGTGTTTTAAGCCATAGTTGTGTGTTTGTGGGATGATGCAAACACCACACCCTTCAGAGAAATCCAGATGGGGGACCCAGAAACAAAAGCGAAAGAGCTTAAGCCGTTTTTTTTTGTGAATCTGAGCTGGAGCCTGTTTTATTTCAGTTTTCACTGAAGCAGAAGTAAAAACACTAAAGTAATTTGAGTCGGTTCTTACTGAAGATGAAGAAGCTAATTAAGGCTATTTGCATATTTGTATAGACCTGGTGTGTAATTTGAGTAGAAAACAGGGTCTATATAATATTTCTATGCACATGGCCATCTGTATAAGGGTCAATCTCCATTTGCAGTGGGAAACCATGTCTCAAAGTTTGCAGGGCTTATAAAAATGCCTAGAATATTAGCCACAGCTCCAAAAGTCAGTTTGTACATTTACAAAGTTGACCCTTATTTTTCTTTTTTTTTCTTTTTCATATTTTAACAGCTCATCACAAAACCAATTTAAACATTTGAAAAACCATGTTTACTATAAAACAATATTTTTAAGAGGTTTAACTTTGTTTAAAAAAAAATCCATGTTTACTTTTTATGTCATTGACGTTATACTACATTTAAAAAATATGCATTTTATTTTAAAAAGTTCATTTGTCACAGAGATTTTGGTTACTGGTGTTATCAGGACTCTTATATTACATTTGAACACAGTATTGTCAGCTCTATTAAAGTGCTTCTTTCCACCTCAAGGCATGCTCACTATAGGTCATTAATTTATTGATAATTTTGTTTATCTGGCAGCACATAACTTGTATGTGTCACCAGTGTTATGTGTTTTAATGGCTAGGTAATTAACATAATGCCATATATCATTATTATTACTGATTTTAGATAGATACACAAGGTCACATGACCGCCGATGACTTCAATTTACAAGAACAGTTTTAGCCAGAATGTGAACATATGTCACTAGAGTCACATGCAGAAAGAAGAGCTTCATTACAAACATATACAGTCACTGGTATTATATGAATGTGGTGTAACACCAGTGACAGTATGTTTGGAATGAAGCTCTTCATTCTGCATGTATGATAACAGGAGATGTTAATGGACATATTAAAATTATTTGGTTTTGGGATGAAAGAAATTGATTTTTTAAAAATGTATCCACCTGAATTCACAACCCAAATGGAGAATGACCCCTAATGGGCAGCAGTGTGTAAGCTTTTTATACCCATCCTGTGGTTTAAATAATGATCTCTGACCATGTAAGACACTGTTAAAAATAGTTGCTGTACAGTTACATTTTTTCTTCATCAAGGTACAAACAATGTAAATGTTCCCTCAAAGGTACAACAGTGTTTTTAAGGTTCAACTGTGAACCTTAAATACATTTTTCCAGGTGAAAAGTACATATTTGTACCTTTTTATAATCTAATGTTTTAAAACAGAGCAATATAATAAAAAGCCTGGAGGCGAGGCGGGGTGTGTGGAGTCAATACAACTTAGAAAATATCATTTCAGTGGATTACAGTACAATTATGTTCCCTAACTAAAGGTACTGAGATGTACCCTTGAGGGAACCACCCCAGTGACAAGAGGGGAACTGCCCCAGTGAGTTCAGTACCTTTTTTCCGATAATGTAGGCTATAAGAAAAATATCTGACCAACACATCACGGAACTAATCACTACTACAGCTCTCTACTGAAAGTGTAATCAACAGAACAGTCTCACCTTCCTCAGTAGCTCCTCTGTGAGGCGGTATAGGTAGAAGTGTGTCAGTGCTGTAAGAGGGTCTAATATAGCTGCGTCTACCTGCTCCAGACCTGTTTTACCTGCTGTTCCTCTTTTTAACAGCATCATCAAGTAGGGTCATAAGTCCTCCCACACAAGTAAAGTGGACCCCTGTAAATACACTCAGGGTCAGTCATTCTGGCTTCACCCAAACAGTGCAGTATTAGTCCAGGGAAGAATTGAGCTACATATTGCATTTTATGTATAATATACTGTTTATGTACAGGAGCCAGTATTTTAATTCTGTAGCACACTTTAAAAATCATACACAAAAATCGTACTTAAGTTCATGCATGAAAATGAATCATCTAGTACTTTGGCCATAATGTTTCAATAACAGTACATTTATTTGATGCACTTTTCAGAGCTCACTGTACAAAATGCTTAAAAATAGTGACATTTAAATGTGGTGTAGTGACAGTAGAAGTACTGATTACCCATCAGCCTGAGTACAAAGAGAAAACAGTGAGTTCAGATTTTGAAACATTATCAATATTTGTTCAGGGTTCAGATTCAGAGTTCACTGGATTGGACACAAATTCATTATTTGTCTCTGTAGTGTCTGCCCTGCGATGGACAGGTGGCCTGTCTGGTTTGTCCTGCCTTCCACCCAATGACTGCTGGGATAGGCTCCAGCTCCCCCCGCGACCCAGAGGGATAAGCGGCTTAGAAGATGTGAAGATGTAGTTGTAGATTTGTATTTATATAGCGTATCTAGGGCGGCATGGTGGCGCAGTGGGTAGCACTGCCGCCTCTCAGCAAAGAGGGGCTGGGTATGATTCCCGGCTGGGGAATTGTGTCTGTGAATTGTGGGACCATGACATAGACTTCCATTCATTTCCTGAAGACTTACTCAAACCTTAACTTTAAGGACCTTCTTTGACACTGTGGTGCCATCAGTCATCTTTTATGGAGTGGTCTGCTGGGGCAGCAACATCCCACCTGCGGACAGGAAGAGACTTGACAGACTCATTAAGAGGGCCCCCTAGATCCAGTGCAGGTGGTGGGAGACAGGAGGATGTTAGCCAGACTAGCGTCCATGCTGGAGAACAGCTCCCACCCCTTGCATGACACTCTGGCAGCACTGGGCAGCTCCTTCAGTGATCGCCTGTTTCACCCCAAGTGTGTGAAGCAGGCTATCACAGGTCCTTCCTTCCTGCTGCTGTTAGACTGTTCAACCAGCACTGCTCCCAGTAGAGCCCTCCTCCACCCCCATTAGACCTCACACACCTACAACCCTGAAAACCCTGAATTCATCACCATTTCCTGTGTGCAATATAATCAATGCTCCATGTGGTATACATGTAAAATATCCTTACAGAGTAAAGATTTTTTGCTTTTTTATTTAGAATTGTTTATATTGTTATTTTTGTGCATAGAGATTATGTGAAGGATAGAGTTTATATTTTTCATCTTTTTTATCTTTAAGATTATATATATTATCTATATAGTAACAAGTAACAAGCTGTAACCATGTTAAGTAATTAATAAGGTTAATTACTTTGTTAATTCTCTTCTTGTTACTCTTTTCTTGAGTGCCTTGCTCTCCCTTTGCTGCTGTAGCACTGAGAATTTCCCCACTTTGGGACTAAATAAAGGATTATCGGTCACACTTTATTTGGATGGTCCTCTATAGATGCTCTACAGATATTTAAATCATAAACAAACTTTCTGGTGATGTTCAGTTGATTATCTACAACAGTATGGTTAGAGTTAAGGTTAGGAGTAGATGTAGGTTTTGCCTTGAGGTTAGGATTAGGGATAGATGTAATAAAGTCTTTCACACTCAACTTCATGTTCAGTTGCATTTAATGACTATTTAGTTGAATGTTATTTAAAGATATACTGAACATTTACAAAGAGTCTACAGTGGACTACTCACCATTCACTGTTTGTTACATTTTGGCTTACTAATCTTGTTCTTCATCTTTCGAGTTGCCTTTTTTCACTGAATATTTAATTATTACCTTAATTCATTACCAACTGCACTCATAACAGGTTTTTTAGATTTTTTTCCCATTTTTTACTAACCTTTACTTTTCTCTGTGGACGCTGAGGAAAGGTCAGCCGCTGCTGAATGCAAGCTCCGGATGCCAAGCAGAGAGTTGCAGCAGCTGGATCGGCAGATCACGGCTCTCCTGGAACAGCAGACTGAGCTCCACAAGCGGAAAAATCCCAGGGCAACTTGTATAAATTTGCTATTCATTTTCAAAATAAAATAGACCTGATAAGACAGAGCGTAGCTCAGCTGACTGAAACAAGCTACTGTAATGTTCCTGATAAACCTCCTACATCAGTAATGACATCTGACATCTATCAGTTATCAGGAGCTTACAGCTTTCATACACAAATTAAATTTGTCCACATGTGATCTTGATCTCGTTCCCACTTCACTCAGTGGTCCCTGGAAATTTTTCACAGGGGTGCCTAGATGAGGCCACTGGAAATCTTGGGGTAGCACCAAAACCAAAAGTCAAAACCGAATTTCAGGAATTCTATTATGCTGTTGTAGTTTATAGACTAGTTGAGAACTGTGAATGATCCTCCTGGTTTACTGCCTAAGATCCAGAGGAGGCTGGTGGACTTCTTCTGATCTGGACATCACTGACTATAGGCTGCCGTTCTCTATCTACCCTCTCACCCATGCTATAACATGTCATACTATAATGTGTTAAAATGTGTTATAACGCGCTATTAGGTCATAATGTGTTAGAATGTGTTATAACGTGCTATTAGGTCATAATGTGTTAGAATGTGTTATAATGTGCTATTAGGTGATAATGTGTTCTAATGTGCTATAATGTGCTTCAGTGTCATATTATGCTAGTTTAATGTGCTTTAATGTATTATGGTGTGCTATAATGTGGCATAAGACAACAATATACACTATGTGGCCAAAAGTATGTGGACCTCCTAATGATTGAGTTCAGGTGTTTCAGCCACACTCATTACTGACAGGTGTATAAAATCAAGCACACAGCCTTGCAGTCTGGATAGACCAACACTGGCAGTAGAATGGGTCGCACTGAAGAGCTCAGTGACTTTAAACGTGGCACTGTCATAGGATGCCACCTCTGACACAAGTCAGTTTGTGAAATTTCTGTCTTGCTAGATCTGCCCCTGTCAACTGTAAGTGCTATTATTGTGAAATGGAAGCATCTAGGAGCAGCAACAACTCAAACACGAAGTGGTGGACCACGCAGAGTGGGGCCGCCAAGTGCTGTAAAAAACTCTTCTCCTCTGCTACGTCACTGACTACAGAGATCCAAGCTGCCTCTGGACTAACATTGATGAGCTTGGTGTGGAGGAACTCAAGTGGCCCTCACAGAACCCTGATCTCAACCCCACTGAGCACCTTGGGGATGAACTAGAACAGAGATTGTGAGCCAGGCCGTCTCGTCCAATATCAGCGTCTGACCTCACAAATGCTCTTCTGGATGAATGGCCACAAATTCCCACAGACACACTCCAAAATCCTGTAGAAAGAGTGGAAGCTGTTATATCTGCACAGGGGGACCAACTTTATAGTAATGCCTATGGATTTAGAATGAGAATAAGCCCATTCAGGTGTCCACATACTTTTGGCCATATATGTATATATCGGAGGAAGTGATTAAGAACAGGGAGAAGCGATTATAAAAAGAGGGAAGTGATTAAGCCCACTGTAATGACCAGAAAGCATTAAGATAAACTTTGTTGGTGCAGATTTTTAACATATTTGAGTAAAATCTAAAATAAAACCACAAACTCCATCCTAAAACAACGTCACATGTCTGTATTACTCTCAAATTATTTTAGACTTCACTTTTCTAAAATTATTTTTAGCAGTTGCAGTTAACCATTCTCCATGTACCCCACCAGATAGTGCTCATAGACTTGAATATGTGCTTTCTGACACGCTGTAGCTTCAAGTAGCCTATGTTTATATACAGCGAGGTGAAGGAGTTCAGGTGTGATCAGTTAGTACTCAGGTGATGCTGATCTTGATAGTGGTAGGTGATTGGCACATGATGGGGGAGTGCGTGTCACAAGATCCTCCAGGGGATTCTGGCAGTTGGAGTCCATAGACAGTCCATGGACGTGCTGTGCTGGGGTTTATGGACTGCAGGGCCAGAGGGAGGTGTGTCAATGAGATATGTATTTATATGTATAAAACACGTATTTACCATGTTCCTATAGTTGTATGAGATGTGTTTGTTAAATCTTTCATGAATCTTTTAGTCATTCAGAGTGGTACAGTGTGAAACGTTCCATTCTAGAGAAACTTACGAAGTCAGAACTGTTCACAATGGTGGTGATAGGAACCAGACATCCACCTCTAAAAGCTCCCTTACAGAAAGTTACTACATGAAATGGTTATGAATTCACTGCCTGATGTCTGAGACATTGTTTTACGATAGTTTTGAGAACTTAAACTCCATTCACGGTGGAGGGATACATAATATGCAGGGCGCTGTGAGACAAAATAGTCCCCAAAGAATTTATATTATTTCAGATTTTCCACTATTTTCCGTCATCAACATTCTATATAAATTCAGAAGACTCGTGTAGGTTCACTGGTGGTTTTGGACAGTAAATAAAATGTCCATATTTGTGTTGTAGTCATGGTGACCCCTGGTTCCTATCACCACCTATAGAAATCAGTCAGTCCCTCAGTCATGGGGAAAAATATGAAAAATGGGTGGGTAAGATCTGGATCTCACCTGATCTGGATGTGTTTCCAGTCAGGTCCTCAGGGGGTGCTATGGAGTTTATTTCTGTAACCAAAACAAAGTCATGCCTTTCACATGACTTGAGCCAAAGAGGAAGTAAACAGGGTTAAAAAGTTAAAGAGCTCTTTGTTTCCTCAGAACATCTGATCAAACGCAGAGGAGCAGAATCCAAACCACCTGCACAGGTTTAGAACGATATGTAAGAACTTTCTCTTTCTTATCTTTCAAATAGCTGCTTATAATGACTTAGTGAGGTGTTTTGCTCTTTATTCTTGTTCTCTGTGTGAAAAAGTGCTGTCAGCAGTAGAAAAGTTACAGCTTTTACTCTGTTTTGCTTTGCTGAGTGACATAAATCATCACAGTCAGAAGTTTGGTATCACACCACTGCTTTCTCAGAAACTATTTAACCCAGTAGTGTGTTATAAAGCATTGTGGAAGCTGTTCATACAAAACTCCTGCTTTAAATGATGATTTTTTGAGTCCTGAAAGGTCACCAAGCTCGAGAGCAAAACAAGTAAAGCTTTAGTCCAGATCCAGTGCATTCACATTGTTTTTATTCTCATTTCACATTATGAAATTTCACATTTATTATACAAAGCCAGGCATCCATTTAAACGCAGATTATTTACTGTTTGCTCTCAGTGTTGTGTTGTTAAAGGGCAAATCTGTTGACTTCCTCCTGCTTTCACTTTCGCAGTATATGCAGTATTACAACAAAAGCGTTTACAAATGAGGCTTAATTAGGGTTATGGTTATTTATACACCCTTAATTATTCTTAAAGGCCATAGCTACATTTTATCTAACCCTAACCTACATTACAATAAGTCTTTATAGTCTCTTAAAAAAACAGGAAGCAGCTTTTTATAAATATATAAACACAATTTTGGGGTCTGATTAAGTTAATTGACCCCCTGTGTCTCCAAGTTATCTATTTATACTTTCAGTAACTCCTTTATATGCTGTTCTTTAATCCTCCTTGATATTTATTTTTGTGTAAGCTGCTAGTAGAGTTGCACCAGCTGGGTGTGGTCATATGACACTTCAGTGAGTCTGATGCAACTTCTACTACTAATGAAGCCAGTAAAGAAAGAGAGAGAGAGAGAGAGAGAGAGAGAGAGAGAGAGAGAGAGAGAGAGAGAGAGAGATAGAATTGAAAAAGCATTGTGTTTTGTGTACCATCCAAATGTGGCAACAACAAAAATATCTCTCACACACAATTGTTATACTACAACGGCGTAATAGGCCCACTGTTAATAAAAATAAAAATAGCAGACTTCGAAAATAAAGTCGTAATATTTTGAGAAAAAAAAGTCTTACTATTTTGAGGAAAAAAGTCATAATATTTCGAGAAAAAAAAGTCATAGAATTACGACATTAAAGTGGCATTAATACCAGGAAAGGTTGCAATATTGTGGCCAATGGCTTTGCAAAGGGAAGGCAGCACCTCCTTGTGTTAAAATGAGGGGCGTTGAGTAGGTAAAGTTATACTTTCATATCGATTTCACCCATAAAGACATACTCAGTCTCCCTGTCTCTGCTGGCACATCAGCACCAGCCTGTTGTAGAATATGAAACGGCTGAGCAGGAAACTGTGTTTATCTAGAATAAAGAACAAGACAGACTCGGAGGAAACTGTCTGTCTGTTTTGTTGAAGGAGAATCGCAGGCAGGGTCGTCTACACGGCTATCGGGTTACATCTCTGTGCCATTCAAAGAGGGCATGTAGTTTCACAGACAGTGAGAATGATAATCAAAATGATGGATCCACAAGCAGACAGGAGTGAGTGGAACTCCGGCACCAGTACAGCAACCGAGACCCCAGCGCATTATGGCAGCCCACTTTTTTTTCTTGAAATAATAGTACTTTTTATCTCAAAATAGTATGACTTTTTTCTTGAAATATTGCGACTTTATTCTCGAAGTCTACTATTTTTATTTTTATTAACAGTGAACCTAAAACGCTGTCATAGTTATACAGGCTTTACACAAATAGTACAGATAAAACTGCTTAGGCTGTATTTCCTGTAGGCTCGTATTTCCTCTCAATCGTCTGTGTTATTGCATCAGCCCTCACTGCAGGCAGAACAGTGTTCTCACTGGACTCCAGTTACAGTGCACCATTACTTACTGTAGAAATTAAAATTTTCAAGCTCATATTATAAACACTAAATTTCACACACACACACACACACACACATATATATATATGTGTGTATATATATATATATATATATATATATATATACACACACACATACACACATGTATATATATGTATGTATAGTGAAATTTAGTTTTAACTGTTTATCATCTACAATTATTATACACAGTTTATCACGTTTTATTCTACACGTACCTTACATTCTTACATATAAACTACATGGCAGTATGATTATTCTCAGTCTATAAAACAACATATCCTGTTGTGTTTAAGTAGAAACCTTTAGGGTAACTGGAATTACAAAATTATCTAAACTGAGTTTTCTGTAATGCCGTTAAATACTTCTATAATCATCTGACTGAATTTACCTTTTTGTAAGTTAGAAAATGGGAAAGAGCAGATTATAATAACACGTTTCACATTCATTAATTAATACTTCACTATTTTTTTTTTTATTTCCAAAGGTGTAGGTGTGAAATGATAATATACATTTTCATACCACCAGTTGCTGTGTCAGTATTGATACCAGTTCCTACACAGTACTGGGGGGATATTTGCAACATTATTATATGAATAAATAAGTGAAACATCAGTCATTAAAATGATAATTAATTAATAAAATTCAAGTTTTATTCATAACCTCCATTCATGACCAAACTCATCTGAATGGTTGTGAATGGAGGTTCTGAATAAAACTTGAATTGTATTAATTCATTATCATTTTAATGATTTACTTTTTACTTATTTATTTATATAATAATGCTACAATAATCCCTCTATAATACGGCCCTACAGATCCAATAAACGTCTGGATTTATTTACATAATGCGCTTGGTTTTTGCTTCTACTAACACAAATGTGCTACTGTCACTAGTCAATCCAGATGGTAGGACAGAGGTACAGTGTCTCTGTCTGACTTTAAACCCTCAGGTGCACTATAATCTATAATATAATCACATAAGTGTTCTTTCTAAAGGTACACTGTACATCATGATGGCTGCATTACTCAGCATATTGTATGCAGTCTCAGGTGAGAACATTAGATATTTTTGCTTTCTGTGTCTGTGTTCTATTTCAGTATGCCATTAACTGATAATGGATTAAGTTAAGAATTCCAGCATAAACCTCAATATGTGCTAGAACAGTTCCCCATCCCAGTCCTGGTGACCCTTTGCTCTGCACATCTTTACTCTACACCAGTGGTCACTAACTCTCCTCCTGGAGATCTACTTTCCTGCAGAGTTTAGTTCCAACCTGCATCTAACGTACTGCTCCTGTTGCCTCACACTAAAGCCTCCAGGCAATCAAAAACCTCTTATTAATCAGCTGGAGCAGTTGTGGCAGACTGTGTTTGGAATGACAGTCTGCAGAAAGGTAGATCTCCAGGACCAGGGTTGGAAACCACTGCTCTACACACCCTGACCCAGCCAACAAGGAGCTTCTTGATTAGCTAACGAGTTGAATCAGGCATGCTCAGTAAGAAAAAGCACAACACTCTGCACAGTGTTGGGCCACCGGGACTAAGATTGGGAACCCCTGTGCTAGAAGACTGCAAACTTGCACACTTCTGTTTAATGCGATCGTCTAATCTGCCACTAGGGGTGCTGTCAGCAGCTTTGGTTACTTTACCTGACATTAAGCCAGGAGGCTCCATCACCCTCCCCTGTAAACTCCTTGAAGACCTACCTGTGGAGCAGCTGGATGTGCGCTGGCTGCTGGGTGAACATCTGGTCATCAAACTGAACCGAACCCAGATCATCTACAGCATCAGCTACAGGAACAGGACCGAACTACCAGCAAGGGGTGCCAGCGTGGCGATTTCTCCCTGACCATCACACACACACAGCATGGGAGACAGCGGAGTGTATCGATGTGTGATCTTCAGAGAGGAGCAGGAGCTCAAACTCGCAGAGATACAGCTTTCAGTGGAAGGTAAGACAAGAACATTAAATGTAAGTTTACAGTTGGTTGAACTGAAAAAGTCGGAAACGTGGATGTTCAAATCATCACAAAAAGCATTTGGTGGTAAAATGTAAATGCATTGTGAAAACCTAAAACTAAACACTTAGTCCAAAGATACATGAATACTTACATATTTCACATATATAAAGAATATTCATATCTATCACTCTCTCTCACCCCCCATCCCCAGTCCCCCATTCTCCCAGTGCTGTGTTTGTTAAAGTAGGGGATGAAGTGGTTCTTCCATGTTTTGGTCGTGTGGACTGGGTGGATTCAGAAGCTGAGTTTGTGCAGTGGAAGAGGGGCTGGACAGTTCTAGAGTGGGTACAGGGTTCTCTGTATGTGGATCCTCAGTTTACAGACAGAGTATCACTGCCCAAAGACAGAATCCTTCAGGATAACATCTCCCTTGTGCTGAAGAACGCTCGCCATGAAGACCAGGGACTTTACATGTGCTTCTTCAGGAAGGACAAAGACATCAGACTTGCTGCCCAGATTAATCTCACTGTCACAGGTAAACATGCTCAAACAAGGATGGGTGATTCAAATAACAGCAGAGGAAGTGGGACAGAGTGTGACAGGGCGGAACAAGAGGCAAGGCGAAGGGAATGAGAAGAAGAACAGGTTCGGACAGGAGGTGGAATGGGGTGGGACAGAGCAGTATACAATGTGGGACTGGAGTGGGACAAGGGTGGGAAAGAGTAGGACAGGAGATGGGAAAGAAAAAGGGTATAGTCGGATGGAGTGGACCAGGAGGGCATGTTGGGATGGAATGCGACAGGAAGGGCATGTTGGGATGGAGTGGGACAGGAGGGGTATGGTGGAATGGAGTGGGACAGGAGGGGTATGGTGGGATGGTGTGGGACAGGAGGGGTATGGTGGAATTGAGTGGGACAGGAGGGGCGTGGAGGGATGGAATCTGGACAAGAGGGGCATGGAGGGATGGAGTGGACCAGCAGGGTTATGGTGGGATGGAGTGGGACAGGAGGGGCATGGTATGACAGAGTGACACAGGAGGGGCATGGAGAGATGGAGTGGGACCAGGAGGGGCATGGTGGGATGGAGTGGGACAGGAAGAGGTATAGGAAGGGATGGGAGAAGCGGGTAGGTTAGGACAGGGTGAGGACAGGAGAAGGGGCAGGGTAGGAGGGAGATGGACAGGAGGAGAGACAAGGCACACAGGGCAGGACAGAGTGGGGCAGGAGAAGGCAGTGATGCCTAGAAATACAATGTAAATCAGTTAAGCTCTTTACCGATATTTCACTTGTTTAAAGCAGTTCTGTAACTTTTTTATTAGAAATCTGTTTAATTTATGACTGAGATGGTTAAGTGGAGTTGACTCTGGGCAACTGAGAGCTGTGCATTACTAGTTCCTTGTCTGTTTGTTAGATCACATGACCTGGGAGGAGGTGGGGTTTGGATCCTCGGTGCTCCTCCCCCTCTACACTGTATCTCCAGTGATTGTGAGCTTCCTGCCTGATGGAGGGAACGGTTCTGTACGAGTGTGTGAGGTGGAGAAAGAGCAAATGAAATGTGAAACAGCTCTACACACCCATTGCATGGCTCTCAAGAACCACTCCCTGGAGCTGAGGAACCTGTCCATGAAGGATTCTGGAACGATCTCAGTTATCATGAGGGAAACACAGCGCACTGTCAGTGTTCACTTCATACACGTCTTGCCTGCAGGTACATCAGTCCTCCTGTAGCCTTTTATACACCCAGCAGAACATCTTCATTCAGCACGTCTAACTCTCTGATTCCTCTCACCTCCAGGTAACGCTGTGCTACATGCAGACTCACTAACGGTGCTGATAATAATGGTACCCATTTTACTGCTGGTGCTGGGTTTCATGCTCACCAGGCTTATGATTGTGCTGAAGCGGCGGAGGAGGGGATGTCTAACTGTGGAACGGGAAACTGAAGGTCATTGTCTCAACCACATCGTCACCAGCAGTAAATCATCCAGCATTAATAATGTGCAGCTTGCCAACGGCATCATTTAAACAACAACTGTTTACTCCGAGTGAAAATTACTCTCATTTACATTTGTTATTCATATTTACCATTCATTTCTAAAGCCTTTATAAATGGTTCATATTTAGACCTAAAGCTGATGCTAGCTGTACATACAAACTACTCTGATACTGTTGAACAAGTAGACATTACTGATATTTGGTAATTTGGTATACTGTACTATTAAATGGAAACGTTATCGTGGAGCCTTTAAAATACCCTCACCGCATTTTAGTCAAACAAGTTGCAGTTTCACTAGAAGGATTATTAGAGACACAGATCAGCTCTGCTTTTAGAAGCTCCCACTACACACTGCCACGCTCTAAAGACCAAAACCTCAGTAAACACACCCAAAGAAACACAGCTTTGTTTAACCACCAGCTCAGCAGACTGCTAACAAGCAAATCCAGTAATATTAAGCTTCTGAAGTCCGTTGCTGGAGCTGGGTAGAATTAAACAGTTAGCTTGGTGTTAATTTAATATGGGAAAAGCCACAAATGAGCACTATTGCAGCAGTGATCAAACAAACACTACATATAAAGTAGAGGTTTCCACATGACGAACATCCATGACATGCATGGATGACACATTTCTGATTAAATGATTAAATAAGATAAGAGATGACTCTTATAAGATAAGAGATGACTGGTAGATCCCCTGCTTGGTCGCAGTGCTCCATGGCAGCTCCTGTCCTAAGCTATGATAATTATGCACACGGTGAGCATTAATATGTGAAGTTTTAGGTTTAGTGATCATTTTATTGTACATATATGTCCACTTGCATAGTACTACTATTTATAGACAATAATAATACAGTTTGTTTAGCTCTAATTATGTATTTTTTAAAAGCAATATCATGATAATATCATAAACCTTCATAAAAGATTAGGTATTTATTGTGATATAAGCATTTTTATCGGCACATGTCTTCTACCAGACTTTTGCGGCATTTATGGGTTCAGGCCACATCGTCAGTGCAGAACGATTGATTGGAACAGTTCCCAAAAGCATTTTAGCATTTCAGGAACTTCCACACTCAGCTGTGTAGTTCAGGGTCATGGTTGATTTGATCAAATAAGCAGGCAGCTACTTCACCACTGAATGAGAGATCCCTGTTTCTGAGTGAGTTTTAAGGCTGTGAATGAGTTTGCTGATAGACCTGCACACCTATCAGAAGTACATACTGACCCTCTCAAACAACCCTGCTGTACTAAAGGTTCTCAGGTGAACATGAATTATGCAATGTGAGATGATCAGATCATCACTAAAGCAGTGACCAGAGAAAAGTGTCCTACCTGCTCAGTGTGAACACAATAACAGTGAAAATCTGTCATCAGGGCAGTTATTGATCAGCTGTGAGAGTCTGATCACTCTGCGCTCAGTAATCATTACAGCTCACTGTGATAAACTCCTTTACTGAGCGAACTGCTGAGCACACTGGTCAAAACCTTAAAGCTGTTAATTTTGCTTAATTGCTGCAAAAAGTGGCTCGTCAAAAATACTTCATGTGGTAACAAGCAGTTAAACTAGTTTTATTCAGCTCATAAATTACATTGAAAGAATTGTTCATTCAGAGTGTTTATTTAGGTTGAATAAAACGACTTAATTTACTTCTTACCATATTAAGTCATTTTTTTAGGTTGATCTGACAAGCTATTTTTTACGGTGATGGGGCAGCAAACACTGCTTTAATAAACTAGCAAAACACAGCTAACATCAACATTGATATAGTACAGTGCTTTTGTGTTGTTGTCATGCTCTGAGTGGATCATATAAAGATTTGAACCAGTACATTAATGTTGAGTTTATGCTATTGGTTTATGCTGGTCTAGTGCCGGTTACCCAGCATGGTCATACTGGTTGACCAGCATACCAGCATCCATAACACAATATATGCTGGTTTTACTGTGTGCTGTATCTTCAGCTGCTACAGAGCACAAAGCAATGGAAGCCTAAATGACCCTGCTGAAAAAGGACCATTAGAAACCTCTAGGATTGAAACCTAGTGGTTTTTGTATCTAATGGCAATTGGCTTAATGGTTTCCTATAGAGACCACTACAGGTGTTTCCTGTAGAAAGTCTTTAGATCCCATTAGAAAACCATCAAAAGCATTTAGAATCAGCCTTTGGTCACCTGTTAAACCATTAGGATTTTTTACACTATGAAAATGGGGAGTGACTTCTATATATTAATGTTAATGCACTGAAAACAGTGATGCATTTCATTTACTTGTTTCAAATGTGTGTTTATTCTCATAAGCTGATAAATGAAATGCATCAGCTCAGTTTTGTCTTTCGGTTACTTAATTATGTTGAGTAAGTTTAATACCAGCGCCAAAGAGTAAAACAAAAGGAAACCACTGTTAAGTATATATTATACAATGAGAGAGAACAATCAGCAGCCCCACTCTGGCGTGTGAAAGCATTACTGTGCTGTATTTGTTCTGTATGAAATGCCTTTCCTTCTGCGGAACCCCAAAAAGACAGCTGTTAGAAATCTGTAAATGCTGTAAATATTTCAGTGTGTTAGTGTTAGACCTGTATATGACACATTTCTGTTGCATAGTTACTTTTGTTTTCTTTACTGTGTAAAGAAAAAAAAATGCATCATCAAACATAAAACAGCCTGGCTGACCTGAACTGGCCTGGGTTGCTTTAATGTCTATTACTGCCCTCTCTTCAGTGTTTATGTGTATTTACTTTGGCTTTATGCAACCTTTTTCAGATGCTGCTGTTTACAATACATACATTGTGTTAGAATTTCTGATAAACGGACCAACAGAAATGATCCAAAATTACTTGGAAATGAATTTTATCTTCCAATACAAGTTAAGAATGTTTTTCTTTCTTCTGTGAAGTTACTGTTTTGGAGAAACGAGGTTTACATAATCGTTTATACATAAACGATTATGTATAGATGTGTTTGTATTCATGACATAATAAATATTTATATCATTTTTATGTATGTTTAATTTCATTTTTTGAAATTGTTTTTATTTACACCAAAACATGTAAACATTAAAAAACTGGCTAATTTTATTGGTAGTTCAGAGCTACAGAGCTAAATCCTAATCTCCAGTGCTGTAGCTCCACCTGCTCAGGTTCATTTCCTGTGTCTTCATTACTAAGTTATTTTAGAGCTGAATCAGGTGTGTTAGAGCAGGTAAGCACAAAACACACACCTGTACAGGTGGAACACAAAGCTGAAATGCTGTCCTTCTTATACAAGCCCATATAGATCATGACCTGCAATAAAGAACCAACATCTTCTCACTGTGGCTCTGATAGAACCATAAATGTAATGTTCTGGATTCCAATCTGAATGGAAGTCATGCATCCAACAGCATTCAGTTTCTCCTGGCCCTGAGCCAGAACTACAAAGGCCTATCAGTGATGGATCACTACTGTAATTCAGTTTAGTACAAGACTAGATTAAACTGATGTCCAGGAAACCAGCTCTAGAAGTGTTTCTTGAGTTGACCATATATGTGGGCAGTTCTGTTCTCTACTGTGCCTCAGTATTTACATATAAACAATGTAAATTCAGATATTTGAATGTGCTTATCTGCTTATCTGTCTACGACTACTTTATTAGCAGCAGCTCAAGCTGCAGGAACAATATAGAGTCTGTAAAAAGTAAAATGTTACCCTTCTGTGGTTTGAGGCCATTTTCTCGATTTATTCATATCTTCTTACATTTTCCTTTAAAGGCTCTTCATATAACATGATCCTCATATGTTTCATATCCAAATGCTCCGTTATCTTCATCACTACTATAATGGAAACACTATAACGTGCATGGTAGGGGTTCTCTAGGATCAGGACGGGGAACGTGTGCAAAAAACAGCGCAGGCCTGCATGAATTCCATGCTGGTCTAAGCTGGTTTAGCTGGTCACCCAGCATGATCACTCTGGTTGTCCAGCAAACCAGCATCCAAAACACATGCCATGCTGGTCTCTGCTGTTTTTCCAGCAGGGAGCCTTTTAAGCTTAACGATTTCTTTTGTACTTCCTGCTAATAAGAACACAAAGACCTGCTTTAACGTGCATGTCTAAACATGTTCTGATGCTAAACCAACCATGCTAGAAAAAGCAGCATATAGCAGCAAGGCTGATCACCTAAAAACAGCATATGATGTGTTTTGGATGCTGGTATGGTGGTCAACAATCATGACCATTCTAGGTGACCAGGTAAACCAGCTTAGACCAGCTTTTTGGTTATCATTGGATGGTTTACATTGGATGGTTTTCAGCAGGGAATGCCAACATGTCAGCATCAGTGAACTGCGACTCACTCCTGATTCAGCTCCCCCTCAAATTCACGCCCCCTTCACTAGTGACGTCAGCATTGATACATGACTCAAAAAACTAACACATTTACTTTGAAGCAGTGCATCAACGCTGCGTTCATGTTCCCAAATCACAAAGCTTCTTTTGGGACTGCTTTGGAAACTGATTCAAAGGAAGTGGTGTGGGTTTCTGGGTTTCCATGGTTTCAAGCCAACACTGAGCTCTTAAATCTTGATTTAGGTCTTATATCTGAAGCCCACACATTGAATATGAAATATGTTATGTATCTGCAGCCTGTCTGAACAACTTCTGCCCTGTCGTACTCACACCCATTGTGATGAAGTGCTTTGAGAAACTGGTTCTCAGTCATCTGAAAGCAGCGCTCCCACCATCACTGGATCCCCTCCAGTTTGCGTACCGCTCAATCAGATCGACCAAGGATGCCATGTCCACAGCTCTTCATTCTGCCCTCACTCACCTGGAAAATCGGAACACATACATTCGGATGCTGTTCTTTGACTTCAGCTCCGCCTTCAACACAGTCATACCCACCAGGCTGGTCACCAAGCTCAGTGATCTGGGAATCAGCAGATTCCCAGATCACTGTGTAATTGGGTCTTGTAATTGGGTGTAATTGGGTCTTGTACTTCCTGCCAAACAGACCCCAGTCTGTGAGATTGGCTAGTCATATGGCCTCCACCCTCACCCTAAACACGGGTATTCCACAAGGATGTGTGCTGAATCCTCTGCTCTTCTTCCTGTTCACCCATAACTGCATTCCTCTGCATACATCAAACATTATTAGTAAATTTGCAGACGATACCACAGTGGTTGGCCACATCAGCGACAATGATGAATCGGCCTACAGGGAGGACATCCACCACCTGGCTGCCTGGTGTACCACCAACAATCTCTCAACACAGACAAAACCAAGGAGCTCATTGTGGACTACTGGAAAAACAGAAGCTGCACACACTCTTCTGTCCGCATCAACGGTTCTGAGGTAGAGCATGTCTCCAGCTTCAAGTTCCTGTGAGTACACATCTTTGAAGATCTTTAACGGACACTCAACACCACACACTTGGTTAAGAAGGCACAGCAGTGCCTCTACTTCCTGAGGAGACTAAAAAAGAAACATGTCTCTCCTCAGATTCTTACAAACCTCTACTGCTGCACCATTGAAAGCGTACTGACCAACTGTGTGACAGTGTGGTACAGCAGCTCCACTGTGGCCAACAAGAAGACCCTCCAAAAAGTAGTGAGGACTGCTGAGCACACCACTGGCACACGTCGCCCTGCCATCAGAGACATTCACCACCAGCACTGTGTGCGCAGAGCACGCAGCATCATCAAGGACTCCTCACACCCCAGCCACACACTGTTTAACCTCCTTCCATCTGGGAGGAGATACAGAAGCATTTGGACCAGAGCCAGTCAGTCCAGCTTCTTTCCCTCCACCATCACCTCTGAACTCCACACCACTCCACTAATCTTGTAAAACTGTATGTTGCACACAATATTTATTATTATTTATCATCCCTTACATTTGCATACAACAGACTGTTCACTGTATATAGAATACAACACATAACTGCTTACTCTAACAGTACATAACATACCTTATATATTGTATTTATAGTATTGTGTATACATGTATATATCATTCATATATACATTTGTAATTGTGTATATATTGTTCATATAGTTATATATTTCATAGATATGTCATATTTGTGCCTGTTATTGGACATTTGCACTGTCATTTTGCACTATTGCTACTATTTGCACTTCTGGTAGATGCTAACTGCATTTTGTTGCCCTGTACTTGTACTGAGCAATGACAGTAAAGTTGAATCTAAACCATCTGCAAACCATCTTGCACCTCTAAGTTGATATTTTTATCATGTGGCCTCAGCATTATGTTAATGTTACTAATTATCTTTATTGTTTTTGGAGCAAATGACACTTTTAAATCACCATAAGATAAAAAAACAAGATTTTTTTGCCAAAAATATCCTTGAAAAATACAATGCTGCTGCTGCACAGAGTCAAACTATTTAATCAGAGCCACTGCTTCTCCTTCTTTTCCCCTTTTCTGTATTTTAATATTTAATACTAATGTTAAAATCTTATTCTCTGTTCATACTGCTCTTGTGTTACTGTTTGCTATCCCGTGTTGACCAGAGGAGGATGGGTTCCCCTTTTGAGTCTTGGCTCCTCTCAAGGTTTCTTGCCCTTGCCCTTAGGGAGTTTTTCTTGGTGACGCTCATGGGGGCTCCGACCTGGATGTTTCTGTAAAGCTGCTTTGTGACAACACCTGCTGTAAAAAGCGCTGTATAATAAATTTGACTGACTTCAGGACACAGTAAATTTATAACTGCTGTCCATGCTTTTAACCACCAGGTGTCACTAAAGTGCAGCGGTTTTAAAGCTTCGAGTTACGAAACTTTTCACAATACAGTTTAAAGGAAGAGGTCACTGCTTCAGAAAGCTCTGCGATCGCTACCGATCACAGATCACGTCCTCGGGCGCGCGCATTCTCTGAACACAAGCCAACGCCAGGCATCAGAGGAACTACGGAAAGAGGAAAGGTACAAGATCATTCACACCTCCTGCCTGATCTGGAGCCTTTTCTCTTCCCATCTGTTCTTCTGTTGTTGATGTTCAGTGACTGAATGCGCGCTCCCGAGGACTCGATTAGGGAAGGTGAGCGCGCTGTGAGGAGGAACTGAAACCGATGCGACGCCTGAGCGCAGCGGAGCGAACACGAAGGGTAAGAACTTTCTTTACCTCTTTAATATTTACTCAGTCATTTTGGGGGGTTCTGTGTGTGTCAGTAGCAGCAGTGGAGATCTCACCGCTCTTGGCCTTTATCTACATCAGATGATGAACATCTCTCAACTCTCACTCTGCCGATGTTCTGCACGCGATCACAGAAACATCTAACAGATCTAACACTTTCACTTATTCCTCTATCATTTCTGCCTCGCGCTCTCAAACAGTTCCTAAAGTTGTAAAGTTCCTCCAGCAGAACCCGGCGAGTCTCACTGGCTGTGTTTACATGCAAAGATTTTTGATTGAATACAATCGGATTACAGACTCAGACTGAGGTGTTTATATGCACACTCTATTCAACAATTTGATGGAAAATCTTCGTTTATATGCTCACTACAATAATCCGATGCAAAATGACGCGCATGCGTAGAGTAACGCTTAGAGTAAACGTTACCATGACAGCGAACATCACGTGAGGTCCAGTCCGCGTGAGATGACTTTCCAGTTGGCTGGACGTCCGTCCCGCCGCCGTCTTTTAAAGCTCAAAGCATAAACTATAAACTTTCGCTATGACGCGACGCACATGCGCATTTACACGTTCCGACTGGAATGTAATCGGATACAGGCGTTTACATGGTTATTATTCTTCTATTTAACGGATTATTTAGAGGTTTACCCACCTCGTTCAATCGGATAGAAATTGTATTCCGAATGGCCTCAATCGGACTAGACTATTCCGATTGAGGTGTTTACATGGACGTATTCTATTCCGATTGAGCTATTAGTCGGATTATAAACGGATTATCAGGCTGCATGTAAATGTGGCTACTGATCTCATGCTCGGAGCTCCTGCTTTTGCTCCAGCCTCTCTGCTGAAAAATGGCTATTAGATTATTCGATAGTAGGATTATTAGATTATTTGTGATAGTTATGTTTCTGTACATACAGCCAGAAACGGACTGAGCCAATCAAAATTGTTTATTAATAATGGAATTGACTGATCACATTAGTATGCATTCATCAAAGTTATGTATGTAAATTTGAGCATAATAGTTAAACAAACAGACAAAATGCTTTTTTTTTTGGTTAACTAATCAAAACCTTTATAACTTTCATCTATAATACCTTACAATAATAAAAATAATACACATATTACAATGATACTAATAATCTGTGCAGTAAACAAATGCTGCAACTATTCCACGTCTCATTTAAAGACACATTACACTGTGATTTTGTTTTATACTCCTAACTCCGCCCACAAAATAAACAACAAAACACAGCTAGTGTCACACACTGCAGTAATACAGCGCTTAAATATGCTGTTTTAGAGAAATTATCACACTACACAGTCACATCATTCTACCGTCTTAAAACACTAAGACATTTTGTTTATTTCAGGTGCTATTCTTTCCAGTGGTCATAATTTTAACACTGTAAAGTTTGGTCAGTAGGGGATGCAGTGCACTTACCGCTCCACCTCAGACTCCACATACAAGCACTGCTATTGGCTTACAAACTGCTAAATGCTGTCATTTTATTGGAAATATCTGCATGAATTAGGGCGTCATGTGATTGACATGTTAGGTAGGTTGGCACTTGATTTCACTCACTAAAGCTGACTGTGCTCAAATCTCCACTCTTTTCACATTATATTAAAGTTTCTTTAATCAGTCACAGAGTAGTTTGTATGTTATTAAAGGTGCAATGTGTAAAATTAACTAAAATTATCAACAGAATGTGGAGAAATAAGTTCTGATGTTACATCAAAGACGTCTCTGTATCGTTTTGCAGAGATATCTGCTGAAGTTAGCTTGCTAACCTGCTAGCCTTGGCCCTTCCTGTCTTGTAATACCTCAAGAGGTGCTAGTGAGTCGCGTTGCGTCGAGTCAGCCAGACGAGAGTTAGCATTGGTACTGCTTTCCACCACTGGAGATCTCGGTGAGTAAAGGGATGAAGTTTGATGCTGAACTCACAATGTTTCTTCTAGACTGGTAAGTTAACAGGGGGAAGAGTAAAGAGGGAGAAGGAGGAACTGTGTGGGGTTTTTTAATTTCTCAGGTCATGTCATCTTACGTATTGCTCCTTCAGAGGAGGTCTTTTTACTCAGCTAAATAAATAATGGCTGCTCTGTCTACAAGTATAGAAAGATACCTTGGCCTTTTAACCAACCAGCAGATCTAATGCTTTGGTTCTTCTGTTCTTCAGAGAGCTGCAGTCATGGAGCCTGAAACTCTAGGAACGGTGTTGATAATGGCAGTCATAACACTGAGTGTGGCTGTTGTGGTGAACATGCTGATGCTGAAGCAGAGGCGTGTTTCGCAAGAGCAGGAAAATGAAAACAGTCACCTGAATCGCACTGAACTAAGCATCGGTACTGTGTCCACTGTCAATAATGACCAGCCTGGTTTACTGTGATTCACAATAACAGTCATTTATTTACCTGGATAACACTAATGTGATTATATAAATGGTTTATTTACCGGGTAATTCAACCAATTTTTCAAAACATTCCTTCATAATTGAGTGTGTGAGTTGTAAACAGAGTGATTCAGAGTGGTTTGGTGTAAAATGGTTCAGATGTCTTTACAGTGGTGGTGATAGGAACCAGGAGTCGCCATGACTACAACACAAACATAGACATTTTATTTACTATCCAAAACCACCAGTGAACCTACACGTGTCTTCTGAGTTTTGTATGGGATGTTGATGATGGGAAAATGGTGCAAAATCTGCATGTATATATCCACCATGAATGGATTTAAAAATCTGTTTTAGGTCTCCAGCACTGGTCCTGGAGATCTGTCTTCCTGAAGTGTCTAGTTCCAACCACAATCTGCCTCACCTGCTCTGGCTGATTAACTTCTCCAGAAGTTCCTGAATGGCTGGATCAGATACATTAATGTTGGGGGAGGGGCAGCATGTTAAATGCAGGTTGGAACTAAACTCTGCAGGAAGGTAGCTCTCCAGGACCAGGGTTGGAGACCACAGTTTTAGACCAAAATCTCCTCAAAACTATCGTAAAACAATGTCTCAGACATCAGGCAGTGAATTCATAACCATTTCATGTAGTAACTTTCTGCGAGGGAGCTTTAAGAGGTGAACGTCTAGTTCCTATCACCACCTCTATGAACAATTCTGACTTGGTAAGTTTCTCTAGAACAGAGCGTTTCACACTGAACCACTCTGAACCACATCTTAAACATTTAATAATGCAGGAAATTCTGAAATTCTCTTTTCATATCAATCCAATATCTGTTTTTTAGGCAAAGGCACCCTTTTTATTGTGGTGGCTGTGTTGTTTGGTGTACTGTATGTGGTCTCAGGTGAGAATGTGAATAACAAATGAAAACATCTACATTCTTGCAACATTTTTCAGTTTGATGTCACTGAGCGGATAAATCACAGCATGAAACTGTAAGTGTGCTTGAAGATGGCCTGCAGCTAATCACTAACACCTCTACGCTTTTTTCCCCTAACGCTGCCACTAGGGGTGCTGTCTGGGGCCTCAGTAAGTCAGGCTGACATTTCTCCGGGAGACTTCATCACCCTTACCTGTCAAGGAGGTGACGACGTGCATTGGCAGAGCAGAGGCCGAATCAGCTACAACACCTACAGGGACAGGACTGAGTGCACCGCTGAGGCCACCAGCCGTGAAGACTTCCTCCTGACCGTCTCACAGACACTGCACAGAGTTTATCAGTACCTGGTCAAGGAGGAGCCGAAGGTTACACTGGGAGAAGTTGAGCTCACAGTTCAAGGTGAGAAACTGAAGAGCTTACATTACAGAGCAGTGTTGAGTAAAACAGTGGGAGGAACTGTCCCTCATAATGTCCAAACCAAATTATGGGGCCAAATCTAATCAGCACAGGGGGCAGATTTATCAAAAGAGGAGCTAATTAGAGTCTAACACCACCCTAAGAACATCCATGTGAAGGAACACAGAAGGAACTTCAATATTAACATATGACCAGAGAAATACTACCCATATTTTTGTGTAAAAGGCTGTTTCTGCAAGATAGGGTAAAATAAGACTGGGCAAGTTTAGATTTAGGTTACTGTCATAAAGCCTGTAGTGCTAAACTTTGTCAGCTCACGGAAGCAGCAACCACAGCGTAATATTTCACACCCACGTAAAACGCAACAGCCTTAGCCTTAGCTTAGCTCTACTGGATGAATGGCACTTGGCATGCTAACTTAGGGTGCATTGCTGCTTCCTACTGAGGGCTAGCTACACTCCCCATGCATACACTTTTCAACAAACTTGTCAGTCATGCGAAACTGCCTCTTTTAGACACCTGTTTCAGGTTCATTTGAGGCTCATTAGTGACTCACTCATTTTTTGCATTTTGTCAAAACAATAACCAGATCAAAACAAGAGTTATTATTACTATTGTATGAGGAAGTATTTAAGAAAGTGATTGAATTGCACCACTTCAGTCACTTTCTCACTATCTCACTCTCTCTCTCTCTAGTAATGCAGGCACGGGCACGTACCATTAGTGTGGATTGGTGGGACTCGTCTGTGATTGTGCAGTGGAAGAGATGGGCTCGAGAAGTGCTGAAGCTGGGAAAAGATCCTCGTGATGTGCGCCTTCAGTTTACAGGCAGAGCATCACTCACCAATGACAGAATGGTGGAGGATAACATCTCTCTTGTCCTGAAGGACACTCACCATGTAGACCAGGGCCTTTACCTGTGCTTCTTCATGAAGGACAAAGATATCAGACTTGCCACAGAAATTAATGTCACTGGGAAAGGTAAATATGTGCAGATATATATAGGGGTGGGGACTGAAAACACTGGACTGAGACACTACCAAAAGTGAGAGCCCTAAAGAGTGACACTTCCAAGAGTGATAATCTCAAAGACTAATACTACCAAGAGTGAGAACCCCAAAGACAGATACTACCAAGAGTAAGAGCTCTAACGACTTACGCTACCAAGACTGAGAACCCTAAGGACTTACACGACCAAGAGTAAGAGCTCTAAAGACTGATACTACCAAGAGTAAGAGCCCTAAAGACTGATACCACCAAGAGTAAGAGCCCTAAAGACTGATACTACCAGAAGTGAGAACCCCAAAGACTGATAACACCTGATAATACCAGAAATGAGAACCCCAAAGACTTACACTACCAAGAGTATGAGCTCTAACAACTTACACTACCAAGACTGAAAACCCTAAAGACTTACACTACCAAGAGTAAGAGCCCTAAAGACTCATACTACCAGGAGTGAGAACCCCAAAGACTTACACTACCAAGAGAAGGAGCTCTAACAACTTACACTACCAAGACTAAGAACCCTAAAAACTTACACTCCCAGATACTACCAGAAGTGAGAACCCTTCTGGTACCAGAAGTGAGAACCCTTCTGGTATCAAGACTGAGAACCCTAAAGACTTACACTACCAAGAGTAAGAGCCCTAAAGATTGATACTACCAAGAGTGAGAACCCCAAAGACTTACATTACCAAGAGTAAGAGCTCCAAAGACTGATACTACAAAGATTGAGAACCCTAAAGACTGACATTACCAAGACTCAAAGACCTAAAGACTGCCACTGCCAAGAGTGAGAACTCTAAAGACTGGCACTACCAAGAGTGAGAGCAAGATTCCAAAGAAAACATTATTTTGGCCATATTTTGCGTTGTCCTATTTTTAATGCACAAATTCACATATGTACTCTCTCTCTCTCTCTCTCTCTCTCTCTCTCTCTCTCTCTCTTTCTCTCTCTCTCTCTCTCTCTCTCTCCATTTAGAACCCCATTCTCCCAGTACTGTGTTTGTTAAAGCGGGTGAGGAGGTGGATCTGCTGTGTTTTGGCCGTGTGGACTGGTTTGGTACAGAAGCTGAGTTTGTGCAGTGGAAAATGAAGGATCAGATGGTTCTGCAGTGGGAAAAAGGTTCTCAGATTGTGGGTTCTCAGTTTACAGGTAGAGTGTTGCTGCCCAAAGAGAAAATCTACCAAAATAACATCTGTCTCGTGTTGAAGAACATAAGCCATGCTGACCAGGGCAGTTACGAGTGCTTATTTGTGAAGGACCAAATCATCAGACTGGGCACACAGATTAACCTCACTGTGACAGGTAAACATGGACTAAAGGAAAAATGTCCTTCTTAAGATTGTCTCAATACAAGGGTGTAGGTTTGATCTCAACATTGATAAGGACATAATAGCCCAACCCTCTTCCCCCCACATCTACGTGCCACAACATCAGTTGACGTTATTTTTCACAGTGGAAAAGCTGGTGACTTTAGGGAGTTAGCAGGTTTTCAAATCAACTTGGCTGCTGGCTGGTTAGTTTACTTTGCTGTGGCTGGTAAAAAAGCTCCTGATGTCCTTCTCTTTTTTGATGACATAATATCTGAAAAGTAGAAAACTTTGCCTCTGCTTGAGGTATGTACTGACAGCCCTGATAACCATTGTCAGCACGCTGATCAGGTCTGATCTCAACCTTGTCTGGCAGTAAGTGTGATACTAGCCTTCAGATAGTCCCCTCCCTTTCAGCCAATCAAATGCTAGCGTACCTAAATTGGTCATCTTGGAGATGTAGCTTTGTGCTTTGAAAGCACATCATAATTCTCTAATATGACTTCGCTCCAAAGAAAATGCTAAGGAGTTTGCTCAAATATTGGTAGTGGTGATTCTATCCTCCCAAAATTTTGATAGGGATCATTTTGTCCTCCCAAAATATTAGTAGGCACAGTTCTGTCCTCTCAAAATATTGGTAAGGACATTTTTATCCTCCCAAAATATTAGTAGGGACAACTCTGTCCTCCCAAAAATATTGGTAGGGACAAAAATATTCTCCCAAAATATTGGTAGGGACAATTCTTTCTTCCCAAAAATTTGGTCGGGACAATTTCATCCTCCCAAAGAAACTGGTATAAACAACTCTGTCCTTCCAAAATATTGGAAGGGACAATTCTGTCCTCCCAAAATATTGTTAGGGACAACTCTGTCTGCCCAAAATATTGGTAGGGACAATTCTGCCCTCCCAAAATATTGGTAGGGAGAATTCTGTCCCAGAAAAATATTGGTACAGACAATTCTGCCCTCCCAAAATATTGGTAGGGAGAATTCTGTCCCAGAAAAATATTGGTACAGACAATTCTGTCCACCCAAAATATTGGTAGGAACAATGAAATCCTCCCAAAATATTGGCAGAGACAATTCTCTCCTCCCAGTATATTGGTAGGGATGATTCTGTCCTCCAATTATATTGGTAGGGACATTTTCCTACTGTCCATATGCAAATCTACGCCCATGTCTCAAGATAAATAAAACATCTCAATGCTATATCAATTCATTGATAATTAATTGATACAGTATTATCCAATTAGTTCTCTGTTTGTCTGTCTGTTAGATCACATGACACGGTTGGAGGCGGGGTTTGGTTCCTCTGTGCTCCTCCCCCTCCACACTGTATCTCCAGTGATTGTGAGCTTCCTGCCTGATGGAGGGAACGGTTCTGTACGAGTGTGTGAGGTGGAGAAAGAGCAGATGGAGTGCGGAGCAGCTTATTCACACCGTACAGATCTACAGCAGCACTCCCTGGAGCTGAGGAAGCTCTCCATGGAGGATTCTGGAACGTTCTCAGTGATGGAGAGAGAAACACGGCGCACTGTCAGTGTTCTCTTCATACACGTGTTCCCTCCATCTACAGGTACATCAGTCTACCTGTAGCCTTTTACACACCCAGCAGAACATCTTCTTTCAGCACATCTGACTCTCTGATTCCTCTCATCTCCAGATACAGGTGTGTCCAGGGATGCAGCAACAGCACTGATAGTAATAATTATACTGTTTGTGCTGATTTTTGTGGCCACTGTGGTGATGGTAATGAGGCGGTGGAGACAGATGGAACAGGAACAGCAAGATGAAGTCCATCACCTGAACAGAGATAGCAGAGATGTGCAGCAAACACATTATGATCAGTGATACTTTGTGAGTGTGTTTTCTCACTAAATGACTGTTTTTATTTCATGTTCTGTGAAATCGTGCTGGTAATTGACTAAACTCGAACTCTGCACATGCCAGTCAAAGTTCCTGAAAAAAGCTCTATCAGCATAATTAACTGTTTAAGATGTAAACAGAGTCATTCAGAGTGGTTTGGTGTGAAACGTTCGTTCTAGAGAAACTAACGAGTCAGAATTGTTTATAGTGGGGGTGATAGGAACAAGTCGTCCACATCTAAAAGCTCCCTCAAAGAAAGTTACTACATGAAATGGTTATGAATTCACTGCCTGATATCTGAGACACTGTTTTATGATAGTTTCAGTCAGAAGACACATGTAGGTTCACTGGTGGTTTTGGATAGTAAATAAAATCTATATCTATATTTGTGTTGTAGTTGTGGCGACCCCTGGTTCCTGTCACCACCACTGTAAAGAAATCTGAACCATTTCACACCAAACCACTGTGAATCACTCTGTTTACATCTCACACACTCTGTTGTGCAGAAATTTTGGAAAAATCAATGGAATTTGTCTTGAAAAGTTCAGGCAAAAAAGAACCAGGAATGATCTCATGCTTAGAGAAGCTGATTGTGACTTAAGCAATCCAAGAGAGTAGTTCCTCTTAGGTAGAAGGCCTTGCCCTCGTCAGTTTGTCTGTGTTTCCCATGATTTTGAGTGCAGAAAACGCACAAGATTTATACATTTATTGATTGATCTAAAACTATAAGATATATTTTAATGATCAAATTAAAAAAGAAGTGTTTCCCAGTGAATCTTGGCCATTTCCACCACTGGAAATGAAAATGGAAAGGGAAGTGTTTTATACAACGAAAGTATCCACTGTGAAACATTAAGGCACTGAGGGTCAGATGTATGTTTTTCTCAGAGCTGTTTTTCTCAGTACTGTAATCTCTGAGTTTGTTGGTGTTACTCAGACCTGTATATGTATATGTTGGACTTTTTGTCTCCCTTTTTAAAAAAAAAAATTTACTATTATTTTTATATTATTCATTATTATGGAGACGTAAAAGACAATTTGGTTTTACATATAAACAATTAAGAAATGCATTGTTTATTAAAAGTACTGAACTGTTTGAATACCACTGTAATTTTTCAGTTAGATAAGAAAAAAAATCCCCAAACCTGCTATTTGGGTAAATTTGTGCTTCAGCCTGTTGATTGTATTTCTATCATATAAACAGTCAGTGATACCAGAGCAGATGTTCCTGGAGTTCAGGGTTTTGTCCTCTGTGATTTCTTTAATGTTTACTCTATTAGCCTCCTAGCTAGTAAGCTAAAGGCTACAGAGCTAACAACAAAATGAAAGTATTAGAGCATAAAAAAGGGTTCTATATTAAAGCTTCCAGCCAGACAGAAATTATTCACGAAGTGATGTATGTTATGTTCAGAGTTCACCAAGAAGCGTTTAGTTTTACAAAGGTTGCATGGCTAGCTAATTAGCGCGCTAAGGCTAACCTAGCTGTGTCTTTTCAGAGTTAAATTTCATGCTGCTGTGCTGGTTCAGCTCTTGTTCTACTCTACTGTTGATCACTTCTCTCATTGTGGAGCTTTAGTGTTTTAATTTAGACCAAAAAAGAAGAACAGAGTCATCCAAACTTTAACTCCCATATGGATTATTTGCGAGGCCCCAGTGTGTAATGGCTGCACTGTTTAAGGTGGAGCGGAAAATTTGAATAATAAACCAATCTCTGTTGTGAGAAGTTCTTCTGTGTAAGTAGGTTTTTGAGCTGCTAATTCATCAGAATCAGATTTATTGGCCAAGTATGTTGACACACACAAGGAATTTGGTTCCAGCCGTTGGCATCTCTTTAGTATTAAATGCAGTATACAAACAATGTACAGATCGTTTACAGTCAATATACAATATAGACAGTATGCAGGCAATATGCAGACTACATATGGACAAGTAACAAACAGGCAATGTACATATTATTTACAAATTATTTTGTAGACAAATTATTTTGTACTTCCGCTTATGTAGTTTTTTGCAAAGGCACTTTTACTTTTGATTGTGTACCAGCACTTTTATACTGGAGAATGAGTTCAGGAGAGTCTCTTCTGACCATCTCCATAACAACCACCTGGAAAACCCCTGAATATCTCCACACAATCTCTCTCTCCTTACATCTGAGTAAACATCAGCCTGGGCTTCCAACATGTGAGTCTAGCCAACTATGTTATAGAAAAATGTATATATGTGTCTCAAAGTTGAGTTTTTTATTTGTTTGTTCGTTTCCTACACAGACTGGAGCTGAAACCTTCTACAGCTCCACCAGCAGCAGATAGTTAAAGCCTGAATACAAATACAATGCTGCCCTCTAGTGGTACAACAGAGAACCAGTAGAGGCAACTGATCTAACTGCCAGTGAAGAGAATTCTTGATGTCCAGTATACGCTTCCATTCAAAAATGTTTAACTACTCATCATATTAAGTTATTGTTATTATTTTACACCCACTCATAATGTATACAGAAGAATGAACATGTCAAGAACAACTTATGAATTATGAATGATAATTTAATGTATTTTTTATTTAGGATACTTTTGTTTCTTGTTATCTGCCTCAGGCTTTAAAAATCATTTAATTGTAATTGAAATTAGTACAAAGACAACAAATCAACAGTTAAACCTGAGAAATCTAATTGTTTTTTGAAAAATATTTGCCCATTTTGAATTTGATGCCAACAACATGTTCCAAAAAAGTTGGGATGGGGGCAACAAAAGGCTGGTAAAGTTGTGTAAGGCTAAAAAAACACTTGGTGGTTGACTGGCAACAGGTCAGTAACATGACTGGGTATAAAAAGAGCATCTCAGAGAGGCTGAGTTTTTCCACTCTGTGAAAGACAGTATGATCAAATAGTGTAACAGTTTAAGAATAACATTTCTCAATGTGAAATAGCAAAGAACTTTTGGGTTTCATCATCTACGGTACATAATATCATTAAATCTGGAGAAATCTCTGTATGCAAGGAACAGCATTGCTCCACAATAAAAGAGTCTGGACGCTAAACTGACCTGTCTGCAGTCCAGACCTGTCACCACTTATAACATTTGGCACATTATAAAATGAAAAATATGACAAAGGAGACGCTGAACTGTTGAGCAGCTGAAATCCTTTATCGAACAACTACACTTTATCGGACTACACACATGATGATGATGATGATGATGAACTCAGGACTACATACATGACGATAATGATGATGGACTCAGAACTACACACATGATGATGATGATGATGATGATGAACTCAGGACTACATACATGACGATAATGATGATGGACTCAGAACTACACACATGATGATGATGATGATGATGAGCTCAGGACTACACACATGATGATGATGATGAACTCAGAACTACATACATGATGATGATGGTGATGATGATGATGATGATGATGAACTCAGGACTACACACATGATGAGGATGAGGATGATGAACTCAGGAATACATACATGATGATGATGATGATGAACTCAGGATTACACCCATGATGATGATGATGATGATAGACTACACACATGATGATGATGAAGATAAACTCAGGGCTACATACATGATGATGATAATGATGATAGACTACACACATGATGATGATGATGGACTCAGGACTACAGACATGATGATGATGATGATGACAATGGACCACACACATGATGATGATGATGACGATGGACCACACACATGATGATGATGATGATGATGGACCACACACATGATGATGATGATGATGATGATGATGATGATGATGGACTCACACATGGCAGTAAAGATTTTACTTTTTAATGACACAAAATTGTCGATGAAAACATGCTGTTATATCTTAATTGTCTCAGTTTAGCTTAACTTTTAAATTTTAGAAACTATATATTTTGCCATATTGAACTTGTAAATGTACAAATGAGAAAATATTCTCTATTTTTTCTAATGGAGAAAACTAATGACAATAGCAAACACATTACATAGATTAGCTACGTTCCATGAGATACCTTTGCAAATTTGCAAGTAATTTATAAATTTACAGATAACGTTATGTATCTATGCATTGTGGAGCATGCTACCTTCCATTCTTAGTAGACAACATTTGATAATTTTCATTATTAAACAACCTAACCACTAACCTAGCTGGCTGGCTAATGTTTGCTAACTTTCATGGTAACAGTTGGTCAAAAATAACAGCCAGAGTCAGATATAAGTGTGTCTACCTTAAGATCAGAAACTTTCAAGTCTCTTTTGGAAAGAAAACAGTCTCACATTGATGATGTCATAGATGTTAAGAGATTTTGATTGACTGATGTGTTTTGTTGACCCTAGGGCTTCGTCAAAGCTCTTGCCCTCAGGACAGTCGCAACTTGGCAAAATCAGGAGAGAGTAACGTAATTGTGCATAGACAGTGTGAGATATTGGATGTCAGTTCACCTTGAATGAACTGTGTGGGTGGGTGCAGGACAAAATGTTTTGATTGTAGGTGGGAGCGGCACAAATAATTCTGATTTTCTGCCGGCTCTCTAGTTTAGCATGCTGTAACAACACATGGGTTCTGCTGATTGTTAGCCTTGCAACTGCTTCCTTCCATGATAAGTAAAGCCTGTGTAGTTTGACCATATCAGTCAGGAGGGAGCTGTGTCATTTTGAGTTAAGCTGATTTAGTGGATTATAACTACACCCATAGGGCCCATTGACCACTTGTAGCTCCAGGGCCCAACTGCAGTTAAAGCACCCCTGACTATGAGGCATTCTCTCAGTGTGGAGCAGCAGCACTCATATGTTTTAGGTGGCTGTTTTTTACAGCGTGCAGCGCTGCTCTAAGACAGGACTGTACACGCCTGTTCCCCAAAGCTGAAGTGAGGGTGCAAAAAAAACAATAACTGAAGAGGAAATACATGCATCTGCACCACTGTAGAACCAACTGCAGATGTTTCTGGAACTGGTTAGCCTGGTCTAATCTGGGTCAGTGAAGTCAGAGCCGACGTTTGTTTGTGTTCCAGCCTGTAGCTCTTTCTAATGAATGGAGCATTGGTTTGTTCAGTTGTGCTGCACTGAATGAGAACTACAGGAACAATGTGGAGGAACCAGACAGAAATCACACTCACAGATACACACAGATTTCTGATCACTGGAGATTATTGCAGAGATTACTGTTCGATACTTCTGTGATCGTCCGCCAGTTGGTTCTTTTCCAGTTGTTTATCCTCTCTCACTTATAAAACACTCAACATGTCTATTTTACCTGCTGCCGTCTCCTCATTCACTCATATCACTTTTATGCTATTATTATAAATGGATGGCTTACAATCCTCTCATGCTTAACTATAATGTCTATCTATCTACCCATATATGTCTATCTATATATCGAACTATAATGTATATTTGTCTATCCTGCCTGAGGATAAGGGGCGTTCCTGAGGGAACAGAGGAATGACATCATCATAGGTATGCCCTCCTCACTGCAGCCCTCTGATGTTCCTGGAAAGTGTTCTTCCTGGTTCAGGTGAAAGACTCCATCTCTATACAGGCTTAAGCATGTCATTAGAGGAAAAAAATCAGCCCTCTTACAGTAATGTGTCCAGGTAAAGTTTTGGATGTGCTCCAAGGTAACATGGTAACCTGGAGCATATAAATAACTCCTCATTTAACTGAACACAAAGCAGGAAGATTCAGAGCACAGCAGCGTGAACACGGAGGGTGAGGACATTCTTTATCTTCATATTGACTCGCTTTTGTTCTTCTGTGTGTAAACTTGTTATCAGCTCTGAGATCTTTACAGATTTTACTCATTATAGCTCATTATAGAGTGACAAGAATTAATATTTATCTAGAGTATGGATATAAAACTCTCCCTGCTGCTCTCAGTCAAACAGTTTCATGTTTCTCTTTGGAATTTTACACAGCTGGCTTTTCACTGCTCATTACTCTTATCTTTATCATTTCTTCCTTTCTTCTCAGAGCTGCTGTGAATCTGTTAATTAACCAAGCGCCCGTTAATATTATTTCACTTTAAAATGCATTAAAGACCACTTTCAAAACATTTTTCATAATATATGTTGTTGAGAGTGAACTTTACACATATATGATTAATAGCACCTTTTTTTGAGAAATACTCTTTTCCAAAACTCAAAAATGGTACAAACAGAGAGTTTTGGAAACTCTTTGTAAGTGTATATTTAGCACATTTTAGCCTACTGATTTAATATCATTAATCGCTTGTGCTTCCCAGTTTTAGAAAAGGGTTTTATTAGGATTGTCCCAACACAAGATGTTTCTGTCATATTGCTGTTATTGAGGTTGTTTTGAGATAATTTTCACCTTTATTATTTCTATTATTATTTTTATTTGCTTGGGCCTACATGACATCAAACCACTTTCTCATGTAATATACTAAGTGTAAGAACATCTCATGTCTTAAGTAAGATGGTCCTTGGAATGTTATGAAAATAACAAAGAAAATATGTCCTGTATTAAAATTGTAATAGGCTGGGTCACCTTAAACCGTACCTGAATAATGGTCTCAATATTTCTCTTCTTGTTTCTTGGGTAGCTACAGCCATGGAACCTGAAAACCCAGGGATTGCATTAATAATGGCACCTATTACACTGTGTCTGGCAATCTGCTTGGCCACTGTGATGAACAAGTTGAGGAAGAGACGGCTTTCTCAGGAACAGAAATATGAAGGCAGTCACCTTAATCGCTCGGAACTTACCATCGGTAACATGTTCACTGTTAATTAAAAAACAACTACAAAAACAACAACCTGTTTACTCTGAATCACAATTACACTTCATTCTATTAGTTGGACACAAATGTGTCACTTCTAAAAAAAAAAGGTTCATAAATGGTTAAAATTTCTGAGTTAATGTGAATTAAATCTTTTTTTTTCTTTCAAAGGTACCCTGGTTGTGGCAGCTCTGTTAAGTGGCATACTGTACACACTCACAGGTGAGAATGTGAATAACAAAACAAATAAACATCTGCATGTCATCAGTTCTGCATTTTGGCAATGTTTGCTTTTCAAATGCAATCACAGCATGATTCTGTATGTGCTTACACTATGATGTATGATTCGATGTGTTTCTTTATCCTACCACGAAGGGCACTGTCTGGTGTCAGTGGTGTCACTGTCAGTTACTCGCAACCATGAAGACACACCTGTGTAGCAGCTGTGGACACTACAGATTTCTGAAGTTTGTCATGCAGCCAATTTGAACTGCATTTTTATGAATGAAATAAGTTTATGATGAATGAAAGGGTAAAATTCACAACATGAACTTTAGGGCTAAAAAAAAGGTATACACGTGCTAAACATAAATATTTGCAGATTGTTTGGGTACTGCTTTGTGAGTTTGGCTTCTCTCACTGTCTTACAGTGGGTCAATACCTGCTCATGAGAGAGGATCTGGAGGTTACACTTGGAGAAGTTGATCTCAGAGAAGAAGGTAAGAAATGCAGGAAAGCAAGACTCATAAAGACTTTCACTACTAAGTGCAAGAGCAGTAAAGAGCCCTAAAGACTGGCACTACCAAGATTAAGAGCCGTAAAGACTAAAACTACCAAAATTAGAAACGCTGAAGACTGGTACTACCAAGAGTAAGAACCACAAAGACTGAAACTACCAAGAAAAAGAGCCCTAAAGACTGAAACTACCAAGAATGAGAGCACTAAGGACTGCAACTACCAAAAGTAAGAGCACTAAAGACTGTTACTACCAAGAGTAAGAACCCTGCAGACTGGCACTACCAAGAGTAAGAGCCCTAAAGACTGTTACTACCAAGAGTAAGAACCCTGCAGACTGGCACTACCAAGAATAAGAGCCCTAAAGACTGAAACTACCAAGAATGAGAGCCCTAAAGACTGCAACTTCCAAAAGTAAGAGCAATAAAGGCTGATACTACCAAGAGTAAGAGCCCTAAAGACTAGCACTACCAAGAACGAAAGCCCTAAAGACTGACACTACCAAGAATAAGAACCCTAAAGACTGATACTACCAAGAGTAAGAGCACTACCAAGAATGAGAGCCCAAAAGACTGACACTGCCAAGAATAAGAACCCTAAAGACTTATACTACCAAGAGAAAAGCCCTAAAGACTGACAGTACCAAAAGTAAGAGTCCTAAAGACTGACACAATCACAAGTGAGTGCCAGAAAGACTGACACTACCAAGAGTAAGACCCCTAAGGAATGACTATTCAAGGGAGTAAAAGCCTTCAAGTCTGACACTACAAGTCAGTAAGAGCCCTAAAGACTGGCGCTACCCACAGAGTGAGTCTGCAGTATTTATAGGCAGAGCATGCATAAGTCATATGCAGCAATAGCACATAATTTCCCCATGGTACAACTCAGCTGCACAACACATCCTGTAGAATCCATCCGCTGGTGAACTCAAGCCATTCTAAATGCTAAAGCACGTGCACTGCAGTGCTAGAGATGAGTACTCACTCTCTTTCCGACCTCCTGTTTAGATCCCCATTCTCCCATGGTTATTACAATAGGAGAGGAGGAGGTTTCTCCATGTGTTGGTCGCCTGGAGGTGGTGGATTCAGAAGCTGAGTTTGTGCAGTGGAAGATAAAGTATCAGACAGTGCTGCATTCAGAAAAAGCGTTCACTGGTACGGCATCTCTGACTCAAGAGAGAATCCTGCAAGAGAACATCTCTCTTGTGCTGAAGAACACTCACCATGAACACCAGGGTCTTTACCTATTCATGAAGGATGAAGACATCAGACTTGCCACACACATTAATCTCACTTTGACAGGTAAATACGTACACCTACATAAACAGATGGTGAAAGTAAATATTAAGGGAGGAGGTGTCCCTTTATGATGTCATACAAATCAAAGTGCTTTAGAATTTTTACTGCTGCATTGTGTACATGTCTGAAGACCTGCATTTTTCTTTAAGTACAAAATGTTATAATTTCATATTCATATTGTATAATAAACTATGATTTATTAGATAAAACATTTTCAACTTGCGTACATAACAAAAAATATATATAAAATGGCACTGCAACGAGTAAAAACCCTAAAGACTGGCACTACCAACATGTAAAGCATGACAAATTAGAACAACCAAGAGTTAGAGGCTTAAAAATGGGCACTACAAAGACACAGAGCTCTAAATACTGGTACTATCAAAATTAAGAGTTGTATAGATTGGCCCTACCAAGATTCAGAGCCCTAAAGTCTGGCCCTACCAAGAGTGAGCACTATTACGGCACATTACTTTGGTTACATTTGACTACTTCTCATGCACAAATAATATTCACATATGTATTACCCCATCCCCCTCTCTCTCCATTTAGAACCCCATTCTCCCAGTACTGTGTTTGTTAAAGCGGGTGAGGAGGTGGATCTGCTGTGTTTTGGCCGTGTGGACTGGTTTGGTACAGAAGCTGAGTTTGTGCAGTGGAAGATGGAGGATCAGATGGTTTTGCAGTGGGAAAAAGGTTCTCAGATTGTAGGTTCTCAGTTTAGAGGTAGAGTGTCGCTGCCCAAAGAGAAAATCTACCAAAATAACATCTGTCTCGTGTTGAAGAACATAAGCCATGCTGACCAGGGCAGTTACGAGTGCTTATTTGTGAAGGACCAAATCATCAGACTGGGCACACAGATTAACCTCACTGTGACAGGTAAACATGCACAGCTGATCACGCCTCAAATCACACAACATAAATGTTTCAATGCCACGTCATACAAATCTATGAAAGTAACAAACTTTTACTCCTGAATTGTTTGTGTAGGTTTTAAGACATTGATGTTTAACTAAGTAACCTGCATTTTACCCAGCACAGACCCAAAAGTGATAAATTCACAAACAGAAAGGATATACGGTGCTGCTGATGCAAATATCAACATTAAAAAGCCAAAACACATTGCAAAACCATCAGGAACCAACAGACACACTTAATTGTTTTCATGGTTTTTAGCAGGGAGGTCTTGTTAGGCCTGCCTTACTCTCTGTAAATTAGTTCTCTGTTTGTCTGTCTGTTAGATCACATGACCCGGTTGGAGGCGGGGTTTGGTTCCTCTGTGCTCCTCTCCCTCCACACTGTATCTCCAGTGATTGTGAGCTTCCTGCCTGATGGAGGGAACGGTTCTGTGCGAGTGTGTGAGGTGGAGAAAGAGCAGATGAAGTGTGGAGCAGCTTATTCACACCGTACTGATCTACAGCAGCACTCCCTGGAGCTGAGGAAGCTCTCCATGGAGGATTCTGGAACGTTCTCAGTGATGGAGAGAGAAACACAGCGCACTGTCAGAGTTCTCTTCATACACGTGTTCCCTCCATCTACAGGTACATCAGTCCACCTGTAGCCTTTTACACACCCAGCAGAACATCTTCATTCAGCACATCTGACTCTCTGATTCCTCTCATCTCCAGATACAGGTGTGTCCAGGGATGCAGCAACAGCACTGATAGTAATAATTATATTGTTTGTGCTGATTTTTGTGGCCACTGTGGTGATGGTGATGAGGCGGTGAAAACAGAGACTGAGGAACAGGAAGATGAAGTCCATCACCTGAACAGAGATAGCAGAGATGTGCAGCAGCCTCATGCAGCCAACACTTTATGATCAGTGACACTTTGTGAGTGTGATTTCTCACTAAATGGCTGTTTTTATTTCATGTTCTGTGAAATCGTGCTGGTAATTGGCTAAACTCAAACTCTGCACATGCCAGTCAAAGTTTCTGAAAAAAGCTCTATCAGCATAATTAACTGGTTAAGATGTAAACAGAGTCATTCAGAGTGGTTTGGTGTGAAACGCCCGTTCTAGAGAAACATACTGAGTCAGAATTGTTTATAGTGGTGATGATAGGAACTAGACGTCCACATCTAAAAGCTCCCTCAAAGAAAGTTACTACATGAAATGGTTATGAATTCACTGCCTGATGTCTGAGACACTGTTTTATGATAGTTATGAGAACTTAAAATCCATTCATTGTGGAGGGATACATGCAGGGCGCTGTGAGTCACAATAGTCCCCAAAGAAAACCCATTGTTTCAGAGTTTCCATTATTTTCCCATCATCAACATTCCATATAAAACTCAGAAGACATGTGTAGGTTACTGGTGGTTTTGGAAGTAAATAAAATGTCTATATATGTGTTGAAGTTGTGGCGACCCCTGGTTCCTATAACCACCACTGTAAATAAATCTGAACCATTTCACACCAAACCACTGTGAATCACTCTGTTTACATCTCACACACTCTGTTATGCAGAAAGTTTGGAAAAATCAGTGGAATTTGTCTTGAAGAGTTCAAGAAAGAGTCCAGGCAGAAAAGAAATAGGAATGATCTCATGCTTGGAGAAGCTGATTGAGACTTAAGCCATCTAAGTGAGTAGTTCCTCTTGAGTAGAAGGCCTCGCCCTCATCAGTTTGTCTGTTTCCCATGATTCTGAGTGCAGAAAAAGCATGAGATTTATACATTTATTGATTGATCTAAAAAACTATAAGATATATTTTAATGATCAAATGAAAAAAGAAGTGTTTCTCAGTGAATCTTGGCCATTTCCACCACTGGAAATGAAAATGGAAAGAGAAGTGTTTTATACAGCTGTTCAGTCTTTATCGGAAAGTGTAAGAATGACAGCTCCCATTGTGAAACATTAAGGCACTGAGGATCAGATGTATGTAACAGTGCAGAACACTAGATGCAACCCACAGGTATGTGTTCACAAAGTATCTGAATGTTACTAAAGCTGCAGCTGATCACACAAACTAACACACTGTGAGCGCGTACTGCAGCACATTCTGCATAATAATAATGATAATAACGTGTAGTCATGTTGATGCAAGTGCCGTAGCTCTGGATTTGCAATGTGTTTGCGTGCCGTTAGATGCACCTTCAGGTATTTTTCCATGTGAAAAGTGTTTATAAACTGCACGTTTAAACTGATACACCAGTTCTATACATAACACACACACACAGGCAGAATGTGTCTAAATGTTTCTATATTAGTTAAAACTCACTACTGTACATATTTGATTCCTAAATGTATGTAAATTTGTGTATTACATACAGCTCATCCTAATGAATCCCAAAGAGACTTTATAGACACAGAAAGAGCTGTTTATCTCCGTACTGTAATCTCTGAGTTTGTTTGTGTTGCTCAGGCCTATATGTGTATATGTTGGGCTTTTTGTTCTTTTTAAAGCATTTTTTACTATTATTTTTAGATTATTCATTATTAGGGAGACATAACTGACAATCTGGTTTTACATATAAACAATAAAGAAATGCATTGCTCATTAAAAGTTCTGAATTGTTTGAATTTTGCTGTTATCTTTCAGCTAGATAAGAAGATAATCCCCAAAATTGCTATTTGGGTAAATTTGTGCTTCAGCCTGTTGACTATATTTCTATCATATAAACAGTCAGTGTTACCAGAGCAGATCTTCCTGGAGTTCAGGGTTTTGTTCTCTGTGATTCCCTTAATGTACAGTCCGTTAGCCTCCTAGCTAGTAAGCTAAAGGCTACAGAGCTAACAACAAAATAAAAAGCATTTTAGCATGAATGGAATGGTTCTAATGCAAAACATACAGCCAAACAGAAATTATTCACAAAGTGATGTTCAGAGTTCTCAAAGAAGCGTTTAGTTTTTAAAGCTTGCCTGATTAGCTAGCGAATTAGCTCGCTAAGGCTAACCTAGCTGTGTCTTTTGGAGTTGAATTTCATGCTGCTGTGCTGGTTCAGCTCCTGTTCTGCTCTACTGTTGATCTCTCCTCTCTTTAGTGTTTTATTTTAGATCAAAAGGATCCAGAAAGAGAAGAACAGAGTCGTCCAAACTTTAACTCCCATATGGATTATTTACCTGGCCTCAGAATGTAATGGCTGAACAATTTGAGGCGGAATGGAAAATTTAACTAAAATAACAGTCTCTGCTTTGTAGTTGTTCTGCTGATAGATTCTGGATGTTGTGAGAAGTTCTTCTGTGTAAGTAGGTTTTTGAGCTGCTAATTCATCAGAATCAGAATCAGATTTATTGGCCAAGTATGTTGACACACGCAAGGAATTTGGTTCCAGCCGTTGGCGTCTCTTTAGTATTAAATGCAGTATACAAACAATGTACAGATCATTTACAGTCAATACACAATATACAATATACACAGTATGCAGGCAATATGCAGACTACATATGGACAAGTAATAAACAGGCAATGTACATATTATTTACAAATTATTTTGTAGACAAATCATTTTGTACTTCCGCTTATGTAGTTTTTTTCAAAGGCACTTTTACTTTTGATTGTGTACCAGCACTTTTATACTGGAGAATGAGTTCAGGAGAGTCTGGTTTGTCCATCTCCATAACAACCACCTGGAAAACCCCTGAATATCTCCACACTATCTCTCTCTCCTTACATCTCAGCCTGGGCTTCAAAACATTTCCAAAATGTGAGTCTAGCCAACTATGTTATAGAAAAATGTATCTATGTGTCTCAAAATTGAATTGTTTATTTATTTGTTTGTTTGATTGTTTCCTACACAGACTGGAGCTGAAACCTTCTACAGCTCCACCAGCAGCAGATAGTTAAAGCCTGAATACAAATACAATGCTGCCCTCTAGTGGTACAACAGAGAACCAGTAGAGGCAACTGATCTAACTGCCAGTGAAGAGAATTTTTGATGTCCAGTATACACTACCATTCAAAAATATTGAACAACTCATCATATTAAGTTATTGTTATTTTTTTATATTCAATCTTAACTTATACAGAAGAATGAACATGTCAAGAACAAATTATGAATTATGAATGATAATGAATGTATTTTTTTATTTAGAATACTTTTGTTGAGTTGTCTGCCTCATGTTTGATTACTACTTTTGAAGCACAAATGAATTTTAACTTTATTAGAACTTTATTCTTACTGTTCTAGAATCTTCTCCAGCTCTGTTCATCGTTCTGGACACTTCTAACATTTCTACAGTTTTATTTACAGTGTTCTAGAGTCGACAGATGATCTGACAGCTGAGAGCAGATTACAAACACTTTGTACATTTATCTGAAACAGGATTGGTCATTATTGAAAAGAGTGATTCCAGATTTTCAGTGTATTTTACTATCTAGGTCTTACAGCACCAGCAGCACAGAACCACACAGGACAGCATTTTACAGAGTGTATTAGAGACATAAAATACAACCCCATTTCCAAAAAAGTTGGGACGCTGTGCAAAATGTAAATAAAAACAAAATGCAATGATGTGCAAATCATTTAAAGCCTATATGTTATTGAAATTAGTAAGACAACAAATCAAAAGTTAATTGTTTTTTTTTTTAAATATATGCCCATTTTGAATTTGATGCCAACAACACATTCCAAAAAAGTTGGGACGGGGGCAACAAAAGGCTGGTAAAGTTGTGTAATGCCAAAACAAACACCTGGTGGTTGATTGGCAACAGGTCAGTAACATAATTGGATATAATATTAGCATCACAGAGAGGCTCAGTCTTTCTAAAGTTAAGATGAGACGGGGTCCACCACTCTGTAAAAGACTGCACAAGCAAATAGTGCAACAATTCAAGAATAGCATTTTTCAATGTAAATTAGCAAAGAACATTTGTTTTTCATCATCTACGCTACATAATAACATTAAAAAAGCATTTGCTGGCCATGATCTTTGGACCCTCACTGCACTGCATTAGAAATAGACATGATTCTCTAGTGGAAATCACTGCATGGGCTCAGAAACACTTCTGAAAACCACTGTCTGTGAAAACAGTTCTTTGCTGCATCCACTAATGCTAATTAAAAATCTAAAATGCAAAGAAGAAACCATACATAAACAAGATCCAGGAATGCTGCTATCTTCTCTGGGCCCGAGCTCATTTACAATGGACTGAGGGGAAGTGGAAAAGTGTCCTGTGGTCCGACAAATCAAAATTTGAAATTCTTTTTGGAAATCATGGACACTGTGTCCTCCAGGCTAAAGACCATTCAGCTTGTTATCAGTGTACAGTTCAAAAGCCAGTATTCATGATGGTATAGGAGTGCATTAGTGCACATGGCATGGGTGATGTACACATCTGTGAAGGCACCATTAATGCTGAATGATATATACATGTTTTGGCAACATATGCTGCCATCCAGATGACGTCTTTTTCAGGGACGGCCTTGATTATTTCAGCAAGAAAATGTCAAACCACATTCTGCATGTATTACAGCAGCATTGCTCCATAATAAAAGATTCTGGGCGCTATACTGATCTGCCTGCAGTCCAGACCTGCCACCCACTAAAAACATTTGGCACATTATAAAATGAAAAATATGACGAATGAGACCCCGAACTGATAAGCAGCTGAAATCCTATATCAAACAAGAACAGGAACACATTTCACTTTCAAAACTACAGCAGTTAGTCCTCCTCAGTTCCCAAATGCTTACAGAGTGCAGTTAAAAGAAGAGGTGATGCCTCACAGTGGTAAACATGCTCCTGTCCCAACTTTTTGTCCCAACCCAAACATGTTGTTGGCATCAGATTTAAAATTTGCATATATTTTTCAAAAAACAAAAAAATTTCTCAGTTTCAACATTTGATACGTTGTTTTTGTAGTATTTTCCTTTAAAAATATGGTTTACATGATTTACAC